GTATATCTAAATAATAATATAATATCTATATAAATAATAATCCCAATTATTTCACGTAGACAGCGATGGGGGATATAGCTCGGGTTGCCAACTATACTGTTTTTCAATATATTGTACTTTTTACTGTTGAACAAAAATAAAGTATACAAAATATTGTTTTCAACGTAAAATCCTCAACATTTACTGAAAAAATTTTTTCAGTAATAAATGCTAAATGGCGGGATGATAGAAATAGAGCATCTATTAATTTAATAAAAAATGAGCTCCTCATATGTTAATTTCAATTATAATTGTGGTGAACCCTATGAAGTTTTTAAAAAAGATTGTAAATTAGTAAGTTATGCGAGAAGCTCTAAAAATATGTATTTAAAACAATAAATAAATAAAATACTGTTCATTTTTCTAAAATACTATTTAGTATTCTTCACAGACCTGAATATACTGTATTTCTTTAAAAAAAAGTTGGCAAGAAAGTGAGTTTATTTACTTATTACCTCTTTCCGCTTAATATATTGTTATTCCATTTTGTATACGAGTATGTTTGTCATGCTGATGGAGTAAAATCAAGCTCAAAATTATGATTATATCTATGTCGATTTCTTAAATTTTCATTACTTAAAAGGTTCCGATTTAAATAGATATATTAATTTTTTGAGCAAATTCAACAATCGCTAAGTATTCTAGAATATAGAAATTAAAGCTAGAATGTATTAAGATTTTGTATTTGAGCAACAAATTATTTCAAAATCATAAAATTATCAATTCTTTCGTTGTATAAAAATATACCATATATTATACATTTGTGCGATAGCATGATATTAGGTCCAACAATCTGACGCTATCTAGACAAACTACACCGTAGTTATATAGCAACGGCCGACACCCTTGGATTGCTTATGAGTGCTTATCTTTCTTCTGTAGAAATCTTTTACACTAACAAAAAAAATTAAAAATAATATAACTTATATTCTTTTAAAAATATATATCTAAAAAAATAATAAATATATTGTTGTTGGATACGGTGTAAAACATTGGCCTTCATGTCTCGCCTCGGCTATTGTTTAGGTAACAGGTTCCACGCTGAGGACGCTTTAAACTATACGAAATAACTTACAACTATTTCCAATTTATGAATTATATATTATCTACCTACATTGTTTTTAATGTAACATGTAGAAGTAATCTAGGAACTTAGGAATATACCTCTGTACGTTCTCAAAAGAAGTCATGATTTTTATATCGAGCCACTCTACCTACCTCTATTAAAAAAACTAAATATATATACAAACATGTAAGCAAACTTATTGCTAATTCGACTTTAATTTTTTTCTAACACTTAAAATTTTATCTATTCCCATATCAAGTACTGTTAAATATTGTCAATTACATCTTGATTATGTGAACGTATTAGAAAATATCATTAAGTTATTGTTTTAAATTATCAGGCATTGGTTGTAACTTTCTGGCAAAACAGTTTGGAACTTCACAAAATATGATGATTGTGAAGTTCAAATTTTCTGCAGCTTATTGTCAATTGCTGGATATGGCTTTCTATGGATCGCAATAAAGAACGGTCTTGAGCTTGTATCCATTTTAACCGCCAGCAACCTTTGAGAGGTCGTCGCTCTATGTAAAAGCGGGGTCACCCTGTAGGTATTGCGTTTACCAGTACTACTTGGAGATTGAAGAATCTTCTTTCCCAATCTTTATTACCTCTTTCGTTTAGCATTTTATATTTGTCTATCAAAATAATGTAAATAAAGAAAAAGAAAATATGTCCAAATTTCTGTTAGTACAAAGAAATTATTCATATGACCTAAGTTAAATATTTTTTCATTATTTACGCGGACGAAGTCGCGGGTACAGCTAGTTCTTTATATATTCATCCTTTTAGGTATGAAGACCACGATCATCAGCAAATGAAAAAAACACAATCACGAACAAAATATTATGTAATAATATATTAAACTTTTTTTTTAATTTGGATCTCATAAATGAATGTTATTATGTCTCTTTTTGACAACATAAATAATTTTCAATTGGTATTCTTCACTTTGAACCTCAAAAGGCTAATTCAATTAAGTGTGACACAAACTGTGTTGAATTCTTTTGTTACATTTCATGAAACGTTTTCAACCAAACCCAGTATGTTAATTTTCTAGGTAACTAATTATACTTGCCTGTTTTGTCTTTTAAAAATATTTCTGAAGGTCCAATTATAGAGCTGTGTTTTTACGTATTTATAATATTTTTCATTATATAGTTTTCGAAATAGAAGCCTGCAAAAATATGGTAGGTATTTTTATTATCTACTAGTGATTAGCAGTAATGGTGATCATCATCGCTGTATAGAAGTTTCTCGTTTATTAGAGTAAATTACCTAACATATATTAGTTTTATTTTTAGTTATACCTATATTGATATTACCTATGTATTACCTATAAGCAAGCGCCTTTATCTCTCAAAATGTTGCGAATAAATAAAGAATATCGTACTCAAATTACTCCAAAAATCGCGTCATTTCAAATTGAATTGTAAATTTGTATATGTCACCTTGAATTGAATAGTTTTTATCAACACTGACTCACATATAAGTATCTTTCGTTCTACTTAGTCCTAAAAGGAAATTAAATTCGATATACAAATACAAAATATTTGCTTAACGCGCACAAACAGTAGTAGGGTAGGTTATATTTAATATGAGTTTATTACTATAACGCAAGTCTGTGTATACCTGAAATACACCTACCTGAATACTAGGTGTATTTCATATCCATAAGGTACGTTTCCGATACCCAACTACTAATAATAGGCATTTGTAGTTGGTACCGTATTAACGATTTCATTTTCGAAAAAAATATGAAGAGCAATTCCATTGATATATATCATTATAAGATTTATATACCTACCTACTTAGATCAAAAAGAAAATGATGTCTAATTTTAGTTTAACAAAATAATAGAATGTATATGTAGGTATATTCATCATAATTATATTCAAAATTGGTAATACCCGTATCTAGTGCAGATACACAATTTTGTACCTAGCTATAATTATTTCGAAACCACGAAATGATAAGTAAGTAACGATATTTAGTATGTGAACATTTACCAGAGTCATCAGTGGATGCATGAGATATAGTGTTTGTCATTGGCATTATTGCTATGACTGCTAGCCTACTCAAACCATAGTCTCGCGTTACCTTTAAAGTACTTTCAGAATTTATAAATAAAATTGGTATTGGTTTTTTAAGTACGTACAGTACTTAAAAAACTTTATAATATATAAAGTTTTTTAAGTACTGTACGTACTTAAGGTAATATTACGAAGCCCCAGGTCGTGTGGATTGTGGATGCAATTGGATGCAATCGTGCGCGCTAGCTGGCCAGGGGCGCGACCTATAGTTCTTGTGTCGGCACAATGCTTGCCCACTTTGCTATGTTATTTCCTGGACCGATGCAGTATATCGCCAAAGGAACTCATTTTAGCTAATATTTAATAGACGTTGATTATAAATAAATCAGAATAGTCAATTCTGATTTACTTATACGTGGTTACTTTATCCATTCTGTAAAGAAGTATGAGGTACTATTCTGTACTAAAATGACGTTCAATAGGTACTTACTACATGTCTTCCAGTGACATCCACTTGTATAGACAATGCACCCGCCATTATAAGCTTAGTTCCTGTATCGAAATACAATATAGCAAATATTTAATTTCTATTCTATATAATATATAAATAACAGTGTAATAAATTAAAAAAAATAAATAAAAAAAGACGAGTTTTAGCATACATGTAAAGTAAAAATACTTTTATTTTAAAAATCAAACTGACGTAGATTATGCAATAACAACAAGGTATTGTACCTAGTACTCTAACTACTGATCTGTTCTCTCTTATTATCACGATATCGCCCGCGGCATTGTGAATTGTCCGCATTGTACTCGTAAAGAGCAGCTTTTGTCTGAAATGTATACACAGTAGTGTCACTGTTAGTGTCCTAACGGTTTGTTATTTACTTTAATAAGGGGTCAATAAAAATACAACAAACAATACTATGACCTGAAAAGCTTGAATTTAATTTCGTAGTTGCCTAGTTACAATACTACATATCTACGAACTTAAATCCGAGCGTATATATTTTTTATAATATTGAAGTAGATTCCGAAAAAATAAAAGTAAGGATTAAAACAATAATTCTGAAGTAAATCTAACACATTGACACATTACTGACTAGGCAGTTACCTGACTGAGTTGATTGATCTCAAACTTAAACCCCACGCAAGCACCCCACGCCTTTGTATTCAATGTCTTAAATCCAAGAATTTATGAGATTACAGCATACCTATAGCACTAACTTACAATCTTGTTTTAGGCTTCATTCAAGTAACAAAACTCGAAGCTTGAAAATAAAAGATATATTTAAAGCTTTTCTCGTTCGTTCCAAATCATTACATCAGTGATGCATCAACAAATATCCTTTTCCATCCCATATATAATATATATATACTATATAATACTTAACAATACATATACAAGGCAATTTTAATGACGTTATAATTTACCAATAGTTTAACCGTTAATGCGAAAGATAACAAAATTGATTCTCATATTTGTATATCTAGGAATAAGTAGTATGCAATAAAAATTTGTTAGAGTAAAAAAATTATGTTACAAATTAATGTTTAAGTAAACAATGCCGGTACAACAAGGTACGGGTATTCGCGTGCATCGTCCCTAGATGGAAAGTCTAGCTGGAGGCGACTGTCTTAACCAGGAAGTTATGCGAGGATTACATTACCGTGCCTTGTAGGTACTCGTGTGTTACATGAGTACAATGATAATATGATGAATGCAATAAATTATATATAACTTAGACTTTGGTTGCATATCACAAAAATACATTATTTTAATTTGTTCATTTACATCAATTTGTTACAGAAATGCCTAATTTGTCTCTGCTTAATCTAATCGTATTTTTTTCTTTTAATTTCAGAATGCAGACAGCACTGCTGATTTTTCGCCTGTTGTTAACGCGACATGTAAATCGAATGTGATGTCGATCAGGGTAACCTTTAATCAACCATTTAACGGCATCATACATGCAAGGGAATTCAGGTACGTAGCTAATGATACTATTATCAATTATTGTTCCTGTAGAAAACAATATTTTACATTATATATGTACAATTATTAAGGGCGTGAAAATAAGTATTTAGGAAGTTAAATAAAGTAGAAAGGAAATGATTGATGATATTCGATGGATGGATCAAAACAATGATAAATGGTCTCATAAGAGTAAAAAGAAACTCGTTACAAAGTCGCGTATGCAGTATATAATATTTATCTATATAAAAGTATATTAACTTACTAACTTTTTGCTTTTGTTTCAGAACTCCATCATGCATGATGCAGGGTAACGGCACAGAAAATCTTAATTTTGATATCAACTTAATGGCGACGCAAGGTTCTTCGGATTATTGCGGAGTTTTTTGGAACAATGTTAGTACATATATATCACATTAAAATACCTTTAATCATTAGAACAGACACGTATGATAAGTCAAATCTATCTTCAGTTCGGAGTTGTTTCTATTTAAGAACTCACAAGATATACAGCTTACTTAAAAATATAAAGTAATATTTAAATCAAATAGTATATGCTATTACATTTTCGTTAAAGAAAACAATATAATCAGCAGTACCAAAAATATTTTTACATATCTATAGTTACTTTTCATACATTTCCTCCAATGCTTCGATCCAATAAAACTTAAAATCTAAATACATTCATACAGGACAGTTACGATAGAGTGTTTTTTTGAGCTATTAGATTGCCCTTTTTCAGTATGTCACCTATTTTTATTTTAATGAATAAGTAACAATAAAACTCTTTTAATTTAATAGTTATAAGGATAATAAAACAAATTCATCCAGTAATATTGTTAACTTCAAGTTACTTAATGTTTAATTCCAATATTATATCATCAAATACAAAATATTTATTCGTGTAGGAATTTTGGTATCTTATGAATGGCATAATTTTTTATCACTATCTCTTCAGTTCGGATAGCTACTTCAGTTAAGAAGTACTGATACATATTTAGTACTTTCACACAATCAGTTTCAAACTTATCAGATTAACTAATAATCATGCAATATTCTCTAGACAATTAGACTACTATTATTATATGGGTAAATTGCCCATTAACAATATTCTATTAAGTACTTAGTGAATCCGACTCTACCGAGGTCAACTAAATCAAGATAATAATTTTATATCGGAAATATTAACCAAAATTATTACGGAACGTCCGTTTTTTAATCAGATTAGTTGTAATAAATTATTTATAAAATTTCAACATCATTGTTTTTACGAGTATTAGAAATAGGAGAAAGGTTTAATTTTTTGCAATGCCTATAACGTATATGCTACATGCATATACAGGCATACATATATATATTGTTACGTATAGTATGATGAACGAAATATTTATTTTGTCAAATAAAATTTAATCTATTTCCTAATTATTGGAATATATTTTAAAAAGTATAAAATTAAAGGACCAGTGATAATTCAGTCAAAACTTTTATTAAATAATTTATTAAACTATAGGTTTCTAAATATGAAAATATCTTCGTTTATTTTTATTCTTCAGCGTACGGACGAGCGATCCCTGCCTCTGGCGGTTCGCGTGCACCGGACTCTAGAGCTGGCTGATGACAAATTCTTCGTTATTACATGCGGCAAAGCGGGATTCAGAAATTCAAGGTACTATAGTACAACGTACTCTAATATTATAAATGTATTAGTAACCGTCAATATTTCTATTAAATTTTCATGGCCAGACCACTAAATCGATTTCGATGAATTTTACTTTAAGTACAGGTAGAACTTACCTATTTTGTGTCACGAAAATAAAACTTGATGAGGTGAAATAAGGAATGAAAGTTTGTATGGCGAATCAATCACTTCTTAAGTATGGGATTTTAATAAAAATCTTTGTAAAAATAAAAAATACACTGCCCGAAATACTAAATCTAGGCAGATGCACTCGCAAGCATTATGTCTTTATATAATTTATCCACAAACTTATACAGGTGAAGAATAACCAAATGGAGTGTTTATATTTATATATTGCTCTATCGAGTGTAACAGTTTTGTTCTATGATATTAATTAATGAAAGTAAAATATCATCACAATTCTTATAAGGATTTAGTATGGTGTTTAATTTTATTTGTTACAATCATAATGTCATATTACTATGCTATATTCATTTCTATTCTATTTATAACTATAGTACTAGGCCTACAAAATGAACATATATATATATATATCAGTTGGCATCTACGGTCAAATTAAAATTAGTGGTAAATATCTTTACACATCAATGTAAATGATTGAAAACTGAGATGATCGGATGGCATAGATAATTCTCCCTTAATGACTTTAGAGACTATAGTATTAAAATAGATATTTAATTGTCTCTTCCAGAAACGAAACGTCACTGGTGTCACTAAGAATCTTGAATCCACAAGGGGCTAAAGTATTGAACGCTGCATTCGGGCTTCCATACACGCTGCGTGCTGAACTGAGCAAATCAGATGGTATTATATACACAAGTCTTTATCGGCCTCGGCCTCACCACCAAATTCTATAGATTTATTCATAATATTTATTTTAATGTTTATCGTCTGTTATCAGTTCTAACGTTGACGACAGGAAGAAATATATTAGTTACGTTATTATTAAGGTATTTATAAAGATTAATTCTTTATTATTGTTATTACAGGAACTCATGGAATCAGGTTAAAGAATTGTTTTGCATTTAATATGCGTAACATCACTGTAGAGCTGCTGGATAGTAGAGGGTAAATATGTAGACAATTGCATTAAATTTATACGAGATTATAATTTTATATTACATTTAAGACACAACTCATTTAAATATTTATACAATAACGAAAAAATTATAATTTTAATCTGAATTTGTAGGACTTGATATGATAATAATTTATATCAAATATATAATAGATTAAAATATTTTGTACTATAATAAATTTGTATTATCCTAATAAAATGAAATGTAAATCCTAATAAAATTTTAATAAAATCTTTTAAGAAATTAATTATTACTAATGCCACGATATATTAGATAAGAGTATAGATACTCTTTTAGTAAAAAAAAACGTAAGTTATTGATTTAAATTAATTTAATACCATATCTTTTATATAGATGCCCACTGAAACATGATACAATTGTAACGAAGTCTGAAAACGACGTAGCAGAGCTCACTTTACCACAAATGATCCGGTTTCCTGATTCGTCTCAAGTCAACTTTCAATGTGACATCGCCATCTGTTCAGGTATTTCTATTCTACAGATCTCAATAAATATATAGAAATGTATAAATAAATAGGTACTTAACCAATAGTACCTACTTACATCTACTTCCCCATAGTTCCAAGTGCCGCCTGAAATACTGTAGAATACACACACACACACACAAATTATAACTCTTTTTCAGGCTTACATGCACGGCACCTTTTATTTTTCGTTTCCATAAGTACCTATTTTTAACAATACTTCTTAGCTACTAATTACTACTAAACTTTGTTCCAAATTTTTTTAAAGTAATTATATCTACTAATAAATAAAAATTGTAATTTTGGCTGTTTGTTAAGAGATAGTCAGTCAGGACATTTTTTTAACATGTATCATATATTAATATAGTTTAATATGTACTGATGATGGAATACTTCTGTTTTTACATTATAACCTAAATAAATACAAATATACGTGTGTCAACATAGACTATTTAAATTACAGGAAAATGTAACGCAATAGACTGCACAACAGACGGCCGCCCAGACCCAGGAGATGAAGAAGGCACTGTGACAGCGTCCACTGGTGTATTTGTTCTAGATCCTAATGATAATGCTGGTAAGAAAGCCTGTATATCATTCAAACATAAACTTAATCACTTTTTACAATTTTTGAGAGGTAATAAAGTACAGAAGAAAACCCATAAGCCATAATATATAGTAGTATATACATATTATGCTACTTTCTTTCCTTCACATTTATATAAATGTATTATTATATTTAACTGAATACACCAATTTGAAACTAAACTCGTATCTATGAATTACTACTCCGATATTATATAACCGAATATATCTATGTGATACCTAATATGAATGCATACTTAGTAATTTAATTTAATTTCCATTAATCCTAATTCTTTCTTCTTCTTAATCATTCCCTCACTACAGAGGATCGCGACTCTACACTATCTTGTTAATTCTAAATAGTTACTATTTCAAATCATATGTTTACAGTTGTCATGTGCTCAGAGACAGGCGTACGTCCATTGTGGCTGCTTTACTTGGCAATCGCTCTTGGGGTCATGTTCCTCGTGATGCTACTTATCAACTGCTTCCTCTGTACCGCCATGACTTGTTCCTGCGCGAGAACTGACGTAAGTGTTAATTATTTAAAAACAATCAGTTGCAATTACTGATAGTGACCATCGTACATCTTTTAATTGACAGTCAACGGGGTATAAAGACTATTACCAGTTGCATGACAGAAATAACAGCATTAAAAACAGATATGTTGCCTTTACACACATGTCTTATTCCGTCCATACTATAATAATTATAATGATATAATTATTATAATTAACTTATTAATATAATTCTTTATTGCGCACTAAAAATATAAAGAGAACTAAAAGCAGTAGCTGATGCCTTTTCCATCAACAGCAAATTATTTTTAATTAATATGAAGTTTTTGAGGCTGTTGTCATATTTATAAATACATATAATGTATTTATAGACACATTATACAAACTAACTAGATCTTGATCTTGATTTTACTATTACTATAAGTTATAAAAATGTGGATGGATAGCTGTTTATTACTCTATCGCACAAAACTATTAAATGTATTTTAATGAAACTTTACAATAATATAACATCAGAATAACATAATATTAAAATAATGATGGTATCACTCATAAATTAACTTGGCAGGTGATCGAGAAGGACCCGTCGGTGGTGGAGGACTACGACCCGTACCGCAGCTGGCACGGCAGCCAGTACGGCGGCAGGTATCCGTCATCAACTATACATTCTGCGAGGTAACATTCATACGCCATGCATTACATAACCGTATACTAATCGACATACCTATGTATGTATTAATATACAGTATACACATACACAAAGAGCACGCTGTATAATGGTTTGTAAACCTTGAAATCTTTGTAACTTTGACAGGAAAATCGATTCTCAAGAGCCTCTAAACCTGTTTCTAAAACTAAAATTTTACATTTCCTTGTAAGAACTAGTATTAACTAGATGTTCTAATTAAAACAATGTAACTGACTGCATTAATTTAGTTTACGGTGTACCATTATCTATTTACACCGAAACTAATATTTTTTTAGTTTTAGAGAATAGCACTACAAATTGCTATGACACCTTATGCATAGTTGCTCAGTGCTAGATATTTTAATGAACCGCGTTATTAAAAAATCTTCGAAATAATTCTTTCAAATTTTATTATATATACAGGATACGTTTCTGATAAAAGAGTTTTCCTTTATATTCGGATGTTCTATTGATGTATAATGAAATTATAACAATACTCAATGAAAAAGTGTCTTAAAATACAATACTACTATCTACTCACCACATAATATCTAATAATAAACAAAATAATTCATGCAAAACATTTTAATAATACGCTCCGCAATGCTTTATGGTCATACAGGGGAAGATCAAAAAAGTCATTCATGAATCTTAAGCAAAATCTAAAACTTTTAACAATAGTTTATAAAAACACATATTTGTACAAAATGGATGCACATTGTAGAAAATGCCATAAGGCGTTAAGTCCGCCATATGTACTTTTACCTTGGTATTTTGTGCATAGAAGATATATAAATAAATAAATATTTTAAGAGTTAAGAGTCTTCGACATTCGGAGTTCTTTGTAAATGACTGGGACATTACTAGCATTATATTATATAATTCGGGATCCTCAGTTGAAGAAATAAGAATAATGAAAAATGACTTTCATTATTTATTACGTACTTTAAAATAAATCAAAATTTTGTTTTTGATCATAGTTTAACTTATTAACAAATAAAATAATTAATTGAAGCTTTTTTGATCAACCTCTAACTTATTAACTACACATATGCATGAAAATTAACTAAGAAAAAACATTCTTATTTATTCCTTGTATTGTATATGAATTACCAGATCCGTATCGGACAACAGCGATCACTACGCGATAGTGCAATCAAGGCCTGGCAGCCGTCACTCTGGCATGCATCGAAATAGACATTGAACAACAGGTAACGATTAAGGTACTTTAAAAGTGGGACACTACAATATTGCCCTTATCAATTATAACTACGAACGAATAAAACTGTCAGTTGCGGATTACACGTCAGAACTGAAAACTTCTTACCTTCACGAACTTGTAAACATTATTTTTGAGTTGTGAGAAATATTTTTTAAGTTTTTGTATCTCTCTTGTGCTCTTTGTATATCGTATCTGAGTGTTATTTTCAAATGAATTCAGTGTCCTAACTCAAAAATTATTAACGTGCCTAAAGAAGTTTTCACTTCAAAAAAACTGATGCCTGTAAAAATTAAGTTAGTTTGTGTAAATAGTGTCTACCTATGACGGTGTTAGGCATCACAGAATTCGTACGATTACTTAATTACCTATATCTTATAATGAACACAAACTACAACCGAATGGTGCTGTAAACTCTAAGTTAATAAATTATGTTAATATGTTATATTATAATATATTACAACATTGTAATATGTAGATGCATGCACCAGTAAACCGCATAATGAATTTAAGAAGTGCCATTATGATTCTACGTACCTTAGTGGCTTCTATGCCTTTTAGATAATATTTGTATACAAATACCTGACTATTGCAACGAAACCGTCCAATTTTAGTGTTGGTACTTACCTATTTAATTTAGATATAAGTATATATAAAGTTTGTTATATTACACTTTAAAAGGAATATGTGAAGTATATTAAATTGATACTTTTAATTAAAAAGTTAATAGGATATTATTCTACCAAACAGAGTAAGAAGAAATGAGTGATCAAATACGTAGTCTTTTTTGTATTATTTTAAACATAGATTAATCAAACAATAATATGAACAATACATACTTACCTTATACTTACTACGAAATTGTTAGTATATACATATATATACCTATACAGATAAATTAGTTGTAAGCAAAAGAGCAATTGTAGACAGACCGCAATGTCCATGGTAAAACCGTGTTTATTAAGTTTTACTAACTTAAATACAGAATCCATTGTGATAAAAAAGATACTAGAATAAATGTGTCACATAACACATTCTGCGTCACGTGTATGAATTAGCTGGTACCAATTTTACTGATAGAATGAAATAGTAATACTACAGCACTTACATGATCTAAAGATTGGCATTAAAACTACTCCTACTTAAGAATAGGTAGGCGCGGAATGTCATAAGTGTCCAAGAGATCGTGTATTCCTATTTAAGATATTAAGTTGCTCATATACTATAGTTAAAACTTAGTAGCTATAATTATAGTTGTTTAGGATATACTTCAAATAAAAGTTTTATTAGACAGCCAGAGACCTACTACTGGCCAAATTCAAATCTGATAAAATCGGTGATCTCGGTGATCAGTTCACTTTACCTACAGAATGGCTCTAAAATTGTAGAAGTAAATATTAGACTTACACGAATTTTAAAATTATACTAAATATCTCACATTTCTTATCAAGCAGTCTGAAGTAGGTAAACAACAGGGAAAAATACTTATATATAAAGTACAAGATATCTAAACTGGCCGTGACATCATTATTAGCAATGTACCTATTTGTTGCAAAAGTTCCTTTGATCATATTAATTATAAGAAATATCTCCCATTGTGATACACTGTCTTATACCTATCTACATATTTTGTGTATATTAGTAGTATTAATATTTTATATGTCGTAGGTATATATTGTATAGATTTGAACATGTGGAACTTTTGACGACTGCCAATTAATATGTAAAAACTCTTATACCGCATCACAACTGTGAAATCACAATTAGTTTGTATTAAGTACTTACCCTATAGTTAGATATTAACAACTGAGGGTTCTAACTTCATTGCTATTATATGTTATATATATAGTTATTTTTGAGAATATAACGTTATAATACGAAAGTGTGTATTGCAATAATCAATATTAAATTAACATGTTTAATCACATTGCTAAAAAAACCCAGTAAACCAATACTGAGATAAAATATATGTAATTTGAAATAAACTTAATAAAAGTCAAATTAATATAAATATATAATGACTTAATAGGCTTATTTTAACTGGCTTGTTAATAGAAACTGAAACTTATACATTTTGTCGCATTTCTTCAGCTTTAAGATATGAAAATTCACAAAACAAGGACAAAATAGTTCAGTAGCCGATGTAGGATTGGCTTATTTACCATTATGGGATAACTTTACATAGATATATCTGTGGTCATTTATTTAAATAGACGTGTGACTGATATCAATAAACTATTTAACTCAACAATTGGTATTTTTTTTAAATTCTTACGAATGCGTACCCATCGGATTAAACAATATTTTGCTTTCCAACATAAGACATTCTATAGTAATGATAACTTGTTCAATCACGTCATGTACCAAATTTTATTGGTAGAATAAAATACAAACTAAAATAATATATACAAAGAAAAAAATATGAAATTGATGTTTTATTTTATTTAAGATTGAATGAAATTTTCTATATTTTTTATTAAAAAATACTAACTTTATGTATTATATGAAATTCATATATTTTTTAAAAAATCTGCGATGTTAACCCGTTACACATTTTTTTATTAAAATTATTTAATATTATGTTATCTGTGATAATATTGATAAAGAAGTAGATTTGAAATAGTGTGTAGCTCATTATATGATTGGAAAATAAAAATAAATTCAATGCACACAAACCACAATACTTTATTATTAGTGTTATACACTCGTTAATTACAGTAGATAATAATAATATTGGCATTACTTATATTCTATTGATATATAATTTTACAATCATATCTATGTATAACCAAAACTAAAATTCCACTATATTTATGGGCACTGCCTCTAAACATTTAATTTAATACTTCCTTAAAAAATCATAATAACATGCAAGTATCCATCAAGTAATAATCTATTATAGCGGGTCCTGGAATTACTTCAATTAATTTACCCGCGTTTATTAATATTTTAGTCTAAGTCTTGAGTCTTAAAATTTTTAAATGAAGTATTTAACTAGATTTGTGAACAATAATCTTAATTTAGTAAAAACATTTGATATGACTACACACTATGACATATATACAGATAGTGCAGTCTACATGGTAAACAGGTAAAGTTGGACTAGAAAAATGTGACCATGTTACAACATCATACCAACAACAAATTCAAAGATTTCTTTAATTACAATTCTGAGAGAAATATTATTTTCTTCAATTATAATAATTTTAATAGACAATAACCAAAAATAATTGTAATCTGTTTCCATGGCACTGATGACAAAAACAAAAAATAAAATCGTAACTATCTAAACAAAATTTTACTAACACTTTTTTACTCATACCATATTATATAATTTTCTCACCACATAAGCCTGACGACTAAATCAACAATATTAATATGAAATAAATTGTACTATTATAAAATATTTTATAATATATGTATAAAATTATTTCGGTTAATATGATTGTTTTTCAGTTTGGTACTTTCTCAATTTAATTATAATATTTTACAGACCTATAAGAGATAACATATTATGATTTTCTTATTAGGTACTAAGTACTAGGGTAAGTATAACGAATAATCGAATGTCATTACTATTAACCATGTGCGTGGCAAATACGATTCGCGTCGTGAGTAAATCTGCATTAGATATGTAAATATTTGCAGGTAAACTATACGAACGAACTACAATTTAGTCATCGGTAAATGTGATTGGCAATATTTGTTTATTGTTTATCGGACTCTTTCTTTTCTAGCATAGTGTTTATGACCTGTTTATAGAGAGATCTCTTGAAAATGCGAGTGTCTTGACTGGGTACTCCGTGCGGATACTGACCGAAGTTTGTCAAGTCATCAAACCAGCTTGTCGTCGGCTGAAATAATAATTACACATATTATTAAGTCATTAGTTATGAAAGTAATTAGTATAAATAATTAGTAATAATAGTAATAACTCTGGGCAATTCACATAGCGCCATCTAGTACCAAGTTAAGCAAAGCTTGTGATAATCAATCAATCATACTCCGGAATACAAATACGTGTTCCGTGCGAAGAATAGAACCCATGACTTTTGGAAGGGCTTGCTAAAAACCGCGAGACCACCGAGGCCATCAGTAATAACCGAGTCATAAGTAATAGACATAAATCGATGATATACATGAAATTAACTTCTAAAAATATCACTAAAACCCAACGTACATAAGTATGTATGTTTTATCAGAATCGATTTCATAAATTGCTGTAATATTTTTTATTTTTATTTAAGTATTTCGAGTATTTATCAAAGTTAAAATATGGCAGATTTAACATCTAGTGGCATATTCTACCATGGGTCAACTACGACAAGTACTAGTCAACCATGGGTGCAGCAGAGTTAAGTTGTAATACTGTTTGATCTCACCAGTGTATATAGTCAAATAAGTGGCATTTTTACTGATAACATCAAATGGTACTGATACTGATATGTACATCAGTGAGTCTGTGTTCCGAATGAGTGGTAAAATAAAAAAAATGGCTATTAAAAAATGTTTATGTTAAGTGTATTTGAATAAAAAATATTGTATATCCATTTTCATTTCATAAATGCCAAACTTAATAGTGTGGTTAAGAGAAATGTTGCAAAATTTATTTCCTTACGCAAGAAAGTCCATCCATGGGATGAAGTAAATAAACACAAACACACAGGAAAGAATAAAAATCATTAATGTCATAGGTACCTATAACTATAGTATTCATAAAGCTATAGGTGTTTGCATACGTAAATTACACCCTCCGCCAACGTGCGTGAGCGAAAATCCGTGGGCGTTTTACGTCAAGCCAACAGCGTGATAAGCTAAACTTATCAGCAATATATGCATTAAGTGATGTCATAGTACCTTCACGGAGCAATTTAATTCCTTTCACAAAAGACAAAATGCAAACCCATCACCAGACAAATTATACACGATTGAACTGCTTGTCACAAACGTGTTTTAATCTTCTCATTAACTATTAAAATATTCCAATAGTACAATCTCAACATTATGCACAGGGTCGTGCCGATTATTAAAAATAAGACTGCACCTATTTAAAAATATTATTAGAGCGCCGTGTGAGACTAGATTCCTTATTACATGTCTTGTTTTAATTTTATAATCTGATAGTTTATTAAAAATCTAGATAGATTTTATTCTGTGCATAAGTTATTTTTTTTTTCTTGAAAAGTCTACTTAAAGTATATTAGAAATATGAATAATATGTTTTGAACGTCTGTATGTTCATTCTTATATGCTTTCTTTCTAAAATCGGCTCTATGTATTTAGTTAGTCTGCATGACGACACCAAAAAAACATTTGACGCAAACTGTTCTAAAGTTACGAAATGTAAAATTTATTTCCTACGTCACATTGATATATCAAATGGTCTAGTAACCGTTTGGAAATTAAATTTCCACATACTGAACGAAAGGTTTCTCTAAGTTTGTATACGGCAGTAGTTCTCGTAAATATAATATGTATTTTTTTTGTAATTGGAATTCCGGAGTATTTTATGCCATTACTGCAATAAAATATGGGTACAATAGAGGTTTTATTTTGAATATATGAATGCGCTAACGGTATGACCGAAGGGTGATCTGTGAATGTCTGAGTGGGGATGAAATCAAGTCAGTTAGCCAATAGTGGCGAATACACCAAGAATTGACTAAGAATTTCATGTTACCAGGGGGCCCTCTGTCGCTTGAAGATCAACTTGACATGGCAATGGGTCGAAATACTTGATATTATTAACAATCTTCCTCCCCCTCTTCGCGCAAGATAGGGTCAAAGTCAAGCAACATTATGTAAATCTTAACACAGATGATTGCGACCGAACGTTTTTCGTATACAAAATTAGTAAGTTAGGTAAAGCAAACTTACACAAGCATTGGTACACGTAAAATCAAGTTATAAACACATGTTATAGCAATTTCAACACTTAGTTTATACAATTTATTCTATCCTAAATAAAAAAAAATATACATACCTAATAACAGCACAAAGGTATCTAAGCAATATGTCATGTATCAAAACTGATAATGGATTTATATTGAGGTGCTCTAAATACGCGGCAAAAGAGATAAATGATGACACTAAATAATTACGAAGTTAAGAAAGATATTGTAAGACTTAATGTTAGTATTAACATTGAATTAGTAGTTTCGTAAAATTGACAAGTTAATTAAGTAGTTTAAGCCGTTATCTTTGTTAAAGTTTATTATATTTGTTAAAGTAATATTATCATTTTTTTGCGTTACCCAGAATGACAATGAATGATTGGGGATGCTTATTAAAAATAAAGCCCAAATAAACAGCATAATAATTTTACTGATTGTTAAATTCTATACTAATAATTAACTACTAAATTACCATATCTGTTAATTAATAATACCAATTTGATTTATATATACTAAACCATTAACTAAATAACTGTGTACTTGTATCAGTTGTCTAGTACACATAACACAAGCTCTGCTCAGCTTGGTACTAGACAGTAATCTGTGAATTATCCTGAAAAGTAAACCAAGAGTCGTGTCTGGATATCTATTAATATATAAAGAATGCTTACCTCTAATCTAAAATTCAATACTGTTGCGGTATTTTGAAAATGCGGAACTGTAATGACACGTGACACGGGGAAATAGCCGGGGTGACTCGCAGTTAATTCGTAATGGCCCGGTGTCAACAAACGGTAGTAGTCGCCGTACATGCCTATAAAAATATATATTATAATCTGTAATGTATAATAAGTGTTGGATATAAAAAATCCCAATAGCACGCTTCCACTGCGTAGCCAACCAATTATGATAAAATAAAAGTAAATATAATAAAATAATTAAATTGAAATAAAATTGAAAAATTGTTGCCGATTCTGCGGGAGGGCGATTCATTCGTTGATTGGAAATTCAGACTAACGATGCTTTTATAAGAAAAAGAAGTCATTCATACAGTTGATAAAAATTATAATGGTGAGAATGACAAATATTTTAAAAAGAGTGACAATACAGCAAAATTTTTAAGCGTGCAATGTATATCCAACAATAAGTAGAGTAAAAAAATATATTTATTAAAAAAATAAATAAAATTAAAATAATAAAAAAGGTAAAAAAAGACAACTGATGAATACACATACAGGAATAAACATATGCCAAAAGGATGTCGCTACAAGGAAAGCGACAGATATCACTACAACAAAAATCAGTAGCCGAATAGGCCGAACCGTGAATCTATTTCCAATCACAGAATATTATAATAGATACTGAAGAGTCTGAGACAAGATATATTTAAATTATAATGCTGTGTGGTAGTAGGTATCTGAGAGTAATCTTCATCTCGTATATTATCCTTCATATATATTTATTTATATAATTTGAATGACAAACAAGCTGACAGTCCGCTTCATGGTAACCGGTAACTATCATTTACGAACAGGACTAGGAACATCAATTTATCATGTCACGCTAATGATACCATTCTTGCGTTGCCAATTTAGAGAACTTAGATGAAATTTCAATAGAAAACATTGTAGTTAGGCATCAGCTGTGTCTTTAACGTGTTTACTACTTCGAATAATTTCATTAAATTAATCGATAAAATAACAGAAAAATTTGGTCACCATATATATCAAACACACGAGTAAAAAAGCAACATAGAATACAGGATTACGTCCCAATACATAAAGGAACAGGGTCACGTAATTGTCTTGAAGACCATTTACTGCTTCCCAGGCTCATTATTTTTAATGTTCAGAATTTCTTTAATCGTCGTTAAATATCAACAAACTGCTAACTCTAGATGACTTACCTACTTTATATAACTGCGTACATATATATACCTACTTAGAAACAATAATGTAAGCAATGTACATGTGAATAACATATTTTTATGACAGGACCTTAGAACTTGTTTGAAATATTATAAAATTGAAATATGTAACAAAATTCTCAACTATAAAAATTGAATGGAATTCGATCTATATCTTACTTAAGTTGTGACTATAAACAGGTAAAATATAAGCCAGAGTCGCACACCCAAGGTTCCGAACAAATACTTAATGTAAACACGTTATACTTTATGTATACACCTTTCTGATTATTGTTAATTTTCATTGAAATAAACTATTCTTATACTATTATTCTTAATTATCAATGTCCGATTTTAAAATGGTGCTTATTTTTTAATATAATCTCCCACTTAGAATATGGGTATGAGATAAATTTTCGAGTTGCTTTTTCGTACTATCTTGAAAAACCAATGTATTTTTTAAGTTTTAATTTACATTATGATTGGACCAACAGTAAAACAACTAAAAATATTATACCTTAGATTGGTAACTACCTACGAGTATGTTAAATCGATAACATTCCTAGTACTACCTGAGTAGAGAGAAAATTCTATACAAGGGTTTAATTTTACCTTTGTGTTCGGAACCCCAAAATCAAACCACATAGCATCGTAAACCATATCCCGGTATTGGTCAACCATTTATTGTAATCTAGCATAAATTATGTGTGAAATATTAAAAAAACACGCTCAGATGAGTCGTACTTAATATTCATGATATGATATAGATATAAATGTCAACCTGTGGTAACATCGTGTCGGATGGGTCGTGGCACATGTCCGGTTATATTCACTACGGATATGACGGCGTTTTGAATGAAACCAGAGTCGTCGCTCACTATTCCCTTCACTCCGATGTGCGCCTTCCACAAGTAAGCTAGTAAAGCAGCGCGGTTTCTCTCCCATTCTCTAGCCAATTCTCTCTCCGGTGGGTACTTGTCGCAGCCCAATTCCAATGTTATTTCAAAAGCGTTCGTTGCTAAATAATTGAAATCTTGCATTCCTGTAAAACCGTAAGGCTATTAAATTATTTATTATATTTTACTATTATTATTATAAACTCACACATTTTATTGACAATACTACACAAAGCCGGTTGGTTAGCCTACGGGCGTCTTTTGAATTAACAGTGTTGCCGGGAAATAAGTTATTATTAAAGTATTACTTTTCAATAGGTCTTTTCATGAACCATATAGCAACTTTTAAGAGTTCTCTCGTCCTCTTGTCGATAAATATAAATTAAAGTTTTATAATGTTTCAAACATTATTATGGTGCATATAATTTTACAAATGAACGAATGTCCATCTACTTGATTGCACAAAAAATATTGGACACAACAGTGGACAAGTCTTACTGTAATTAGCATCACTAAGCCAGTTCATGCTCACGGTCATAACTTATACGTAAATGCCAGAGCACAATGGAAGGCAAATCACTTACTCCTGACGCTTCCTGCTTTGAGTACTTCCTTAACCAACACACATGTAGGTATATACCTATGTAATTACGGTATAAAAATAGAACTACCTACATGTGATTTTTTTATAACACAACATAACAATCAACGATTAAGTCACAAACAAATCTATAGATCGCTAATCGATTAACACACGCATGAGATAGAACGATATGGCAAATGTCAACATCTATCGACTTGGTTTTTGTCATGCGTAACTACAGTTAACCAATCGTTATCGATAAATTCGTGTAAAACTTGTCTGAGCCCTCATAAATACAACAGAAGCATTTACCTCCTTTCAAGCTATACCAAGCCGCTCCATTAGTTACGCCACCTTGTTTTCCAAAATTATATGCCTCTCCATCCGGGTTGGTAGAGTGACAACCTCTTCTATTCACCGATGCCATATCAGCATGAGCGAAAGAATATGACAAAGCCAGTTCCCTAAATAAAATTATTACATTAATCTTTTAAACTTCAAATGTGGGTTGTCAACCCACTTGGCCTTCGTGACCTTGACCGGTCTCAATAAAGATGCAGATCAATAAATCATTCTGATACGAGTCTGAACCAACTCAACCTCAACCCAAAAACCACCCTAAATTAAATTAAAACAAAGAAGATATTCGAGTCTTATACTGAATATAAAGAATATTATATTAGTAAATTGGAATTATACTAATGTAGCAGTGATTTTTACTATTTATTATATATAATAAATTAAACACCAAAGTAAGACTTGAGCAATTTGTTGCTAATATTACGGGTTTTATTACAAAACTGATTTCTACAACGTGTTTATGAAATATGTGAAAATAATATCATTAACAAAATTGAGGATATTGCGAGCTTTAAACAAAAATCCTATCCGCATAAAATAAGCACGTGCAGTGTTTAAAACACGACCATGTGGCAAAAATTCCTGGTGTATACATTACACTATATCACTACACACCTACTTTATTCGTTATATTATGTATAAGATAAGTAATTAGGAATATTTAATACAAAAATAGAAAAAAAAATAGTATTTTTTGTGAATATCGAAAGTCGGAAACAAGAAGTACTAAAAAATTTTAAACTTAAACAAATGACTAAGTACATTTGTATTGTCCCTTTGTAAGGGATACATTTTTAGTTACGAAACCAAATTTTCTAGATAAATATTTAATAAATAAAATTTTATTCAGTGCAAGTACTTTATTCTCCGAATTCAGTAAAATATAATAAATTGCATTAGATATAAGTATATATTTAAGCAGTAATGTAATCATAAATAAAACATAAATGCAAATACTAGGGGACGCCCGGACAAACATCAACGATATGGGCGATGTAATCTGACGGACTCGGTAGTCTAGCATTTTAGCAAACTGCCTGAATTCCAATGGTCGCGGGTTCGATTCCTCGTACAATGCAAACATTTGTATTTAAGAGTATGAATGTAGGTCTCTATGTGTATTATGTATTTATTTAAAAAATGTATAGCTATGTATTTATATCAGATGTCTAGTACCCTAACACAAGCTCCGCTTAGCTTTGACCTAGATGACGCTGTGTGAATCGTCCTGCAATATTATTATCATTACAAAAAGACCAAATACCTAATAACCCCGTAACTGGTGAAATTGTATGAATAAATAGAAGATATTGAAAAATAAAAGTGGTATTTAGTATTTGGCATTCTGTAGTATCTAGCTACTCCAATGGCAGACAGGCATGACAATATGTATATATGTTCAAAGTAGAGAGTTATTCATACTTAAAAGTATCATCGTCAGGACTTGCTGAATACTCAGACACTGGTGCTCCACTCCTACTTGCATCATAAGGGTAGTTGGCGACAAGATCTCCACCATGCATTGCTGCGCTCAGTACAAATGGTACCGACATGATCCATCTCATTACTGCCCGTGTTTCAGGTTCCAACTATTATATATGAGTATTTTTTAAATTATAAATTATATTAAGCATGCACTAACATGATAACAAGATTGTTCATTTTTTAATTTGTACTATTACAGCTTAGCTTATGATAATTTTATATATATAATATAAAAATTTAATTGAGCAATATAAAAATTAACTGAATCAACCAGCAAGTACTATTTAAATACTTAAAAATAATTATTTTATTAGAAGATTGTACATGACCAAAATAAATAATTAAAAAAACCGGTTCAAACCACAAAGATATACAGAATATAAAAATTAATATTTAAATATGGATCCTCCTACATTATTTAAGTAGTAGAAAAATAATGACATAATGGGAACTTACTGGTTCTGCGAGTCGAGCCAAATCTTTTAACAAATGGTTGTTATGATTTACACCTTGACGCTCAAACTCAAATGTTATTGCATCCAAATCAGGGAAATTCCTATTTAAATCAACTGAATGGTTATTATTACGACCAATAAGATAGTCTTGGCCGCCCTAAAAAATAAGAAGTTTTTTAAAATTAATGTCCTTAATGTTGAAACTATTTATTTAATAAAGTAATTAATTTATTTACTGTATCTGTTGATAGTTGCCATCCATCTGGATTCATTGCTGGTAATAAATGGATTCGTGTGCTATGTATAAGAGCTCTGATATTGCGGTCATCTCGCAGATATTGGTCACATAAATAATTTGCAAGACCCAATAATAATTCCCGACCTAATACTTCATTTCCGTGAATATTTCCAATGTATTTTACTTCAGGTTTGTCTGCAGAACATATATAAAGTAAGCAAACACAAATCACGACATACAACAACTGTTCTTTAAAAGATACATTAAATATTTATTTGAGGGTATTATTACTCACATGCTTGATGAAATCCTGGATTGTCGGAAAATTCTATAACATACAAAGGAACGTTGCGGACAGAAGGTTCGGATAAAGAGTATACTCTTGTAATATTCGGGCATTTTTCATGAACTTCTTCCAATATTTGAATTAGTTCTTCATTGTTATGATGCCTCCATACAAATTCAGCTGATGTTGTTAAAATTAAAGGCAACCACAAAACTATTAATGGAACCATATTTGCACTTTCAGGATTTTACTTATATATAAATTCGCATTACTAATTTTATCTGTAAGCACAAATGCTATATAACAAAGAACACGTCTTGAAAGATCAAAATATCGATCGATTTTCCCGCGGCGCGTCGTACGTAGGTTTATTGACGTAACTTCAGTGTTTACAACTCTTGTTTCAAAATTACGGAGATACTAAAATAATACTGTACATTTTAAAACAGTTACAAAAAAATGTTAACACAATGTGTAACATTTTCCTGTAAGCAAAATATTACCAACATTATTGTTTTATTCAATTATGTTTAGAATAAATAATAACTTTTACTTAGTATGGTTATTGAATAAATATGTGGGATTTATTTATAATCCAAAGTTTAACTTAACTTTTGAAACGTTCATACGTTTCAAAAATTAAGTTAATTTTGGATAAATATTAACTTAAAATATTTTAAAGCGAGTACATTTTATTTACGCAATAACCATTTTAAGTAGAAGCTTCTCAAAAGCTATTTTGAAAAGCATACGAAAAATTAAAGTAGGTGGCGCCACTATGCTATAATGTAAAGTGCAGTTCACGTAAAGAAAATTTCACATATTTTATATGATCAAAATTGTCTATATTTCGAAAACTATAAATAATTTTTTTTTTTTTATAGTTTACATGATCAAAAATTAACATATATTTTGAAACGCATAAATGAATAAAAACCTGAAACATTTGAAGCCAATCGTTTATTTTTCAATAAAGTTTTTGGAAGACTTTAATAAAAATTTGTGCAGGTGGCTCCACTTTCTTATAACGTATCTTACAGTTCATGTATTAAAAATCTATACAAATAAATGAAATTGAACTATTTGTCTGTAATTTCAAATTAATGTACATGAAAATAAATACGATAATTACACCAAAAATTTAAATGAAAAAATCTGTTTCTGCCTGTTGTTCTTGGTAATCTCTGAAAGGGATTGACGGAATATTTACTGCAAGATAGCTATTATTATACATTATAAACTAGAAATATGATTATTTACAAAATTTAACAATACCGAAATTCAGAATCTCGGAAAAATAACTAAGAACACGTACTATTTTTGCAACGGTATTGTATGTAGATTTTATTTGCTATTTATTATAAAACAATAGATAAACGTTATTAGTAACACAAAATTATAAACAGCGTAAATATAGAATCGAAATTAATATCTTGAAAATTATTTTTATAGTAGGTAATCGAAATTTCATTTGTTTTTATAATGCTTGATTAAAGAAATGAAAATGCCTAAATAGTCATAATAATTATTTGTTGAGTAAAAATAATAATCGTGTTGATACGTATCCAGAAATTTATTCTACATTAGATTCTCCTCTACACTCCTTCTTTTTTAGGAATATTTCCATAGTAAAAGTTAAAACTGAAAGTATTACTCCTGTGACGTATATAATGAAGACTCCCTGAAATGGTAAATAGATTACTTAATGAATTTATAATATTTTGTTTAATTCCGCTACGCTACTTAACGTGGCATCATCTGTTTTGTATAAAATTCCATTAAAGCTAATTGAAAGCCTATTGTTGACTGCTCGGCAGAGTCGCAGTTTGGGCGCCGAATGGTAGCAGACTTAAACAAAATAATACTAATAGCACTAAGAGTACTAAGAATTAATAAAATGTACTTCCGCTAAAAATACCAAATTCGATAAAATATATTTAAATACATTTTATCGAAATATGTGCATTTTGATACCTTTTTTATAATGTGGCTACACTCTAATCGATGATGATGAACCAGTGGACAATAAGATGAAAATTTAGATATATCTTATTATGGCAATGACCACTAGGAATTTAGATAGATTATAATAAGGGGATTGTCAGTAACCACTACTAATAATATATTTTCTGTAAAACCGATTAAACTACCCCAACTCATTAATAGCTAACAATTAAGCTTATTTTCTAACCTAATCGTATTCGCCATGATGGGCTAAGTGAACTGAAAATGCTAATACATCAACATAAATATATAAGGACTACATTTATTTTTGTAGGTAATCAATCTTACCACAACGTGTCGAAAACTAAGCTGCTCTATAGTTTCAATATCTCTTTTAGAACGTGACAATCGAACTTCTAGTTGCACTTCGAAGTTCAAATATTTCAACGACACCTGTGTGCATAAAAATCGGTTTTATCAATAGTGAGTATTTATTAAATAATTATATTTAATTAATAATTTGTATTTAATAAAAACTTTCGGGTATTAATTTCTGTTTATTATAGTTAAATCTCGGACGCAGGAAGAATTTATCAAGGTTTACCCCCTAGCACTGAAAAAGTATTGAAATAAATAATATTCATTCTATTTTAGAAGTCAACCAGTCACAATGCCTGCTACATACAGATCATTATGTCGCATATCTATAGCTTTAAATAAAAGATATAATAGCGTATTTGAAAATTTTTTTTTGTTTATTTTGCATTTATTGTTTATTTTGTATATTTCAACCTCTTAAGCTAAAATATGTTTTATAAGAAACAATAGAAGCATTTTTTCAGAACAACATTTTAACAGTAATTGTTGTTGCATAGTTATGTATCGTTGTACCTATATATAAACATTATCATCACCAAATAACAATATATCTTAATTAATTGTGTGTGTATGTTATGTATAAGTATAAACCTGAGTCTCCCAAGCTATCATAAGACCTGATTCATGCAATCGTCCCACCAATTGACTTAGTTTTTCAGTATACGGTGAGCTCTTCCTCAACATAGCAACGCATTGTTCATAGTAGAAATCCTCCTGCATCACTGTCAAATCTAGCATTGCTTCCTTTGTAATATAATCACCAACTGCAAAATAACCTGTAAAAATACTTTTATAGAATTTATTCAAACATTTATCTACTTATTTCGCAATAATTGTGTGCGTGGATGTCCACACATCAGTATGTAGTTAAATTGAAATGACGACTAATTCAACTATGAAATCAAAGATAGTTTAAAACAATAAATTCTACCTGCAGGTAATCGTTCGATAGAAAGCGCAATACTTCTTGTAACACTATTTCGCCTTAGCTCCGCTGCTGGTTTTACTTTGAACAGACTTATCAACTGCTTGACCAAAGGCTGAAAAGGAGTACTATCAATATAGAAAATTTATCTGCTTAACAGATTCTACAATAACAATGAGTACGTAAATATTGTATCTATCTATGCAAGCAGTACCAATTTTGAGTAGCGTGAATTTAATATCTTGAAAATTATAATCATACGCATACTTAAGTAGTAGTTATACTTAGTAATAGTTTCGTGCCAGGTCGTAGATATGTAAGGCCCCTATTACGTATATCTTATTACCTCTTGAGAGTGTGAGATTGAGAATATCCAAGCATCATGTGTCGCGCCCCATTCCAACTGTCGGTCCACTAGGTCTTGTATAGTGTCAACTGATGGCTCATACTTGGGCACTGTGAACACAGAAGCGAGACCACCGCCATATGCATTGTCCAATACCAGTCCTGATATTAAAAGCCAACCCGTAACACTTCGAATACGCCATGTTGAGCCAGCTGAATGCTGAGTCTAAAAGAAAGAAAACGGCTGTGATAAATCAAACAAAGTGAATTTATAAAAAGATTTATTTCATATGACATACAATTGCCATTAAATTCATGTCATATATTTTTACCGTTAAATATTTCTGGACTAAGGCAATCACTATAATCAGAGAATTGTTTATAATCAGAGAATATATAAAAATGTAACAAACCTTTTAGAAAGAAAACCTAAAGCTCTAAAGTATTAACCGATTGTGGACTCGTAGGTCATCATCATAGACAGACAATCATGAATTAATTAGATACTTACCTACTAAAAAAAGATTGAAAGTACTTAAGTAGATACTTAAAGATGAGTTTTCAAATAAATTCGAAATAACCTACACACCCACCTGTGTAATCATCATTCCAAACGTGGTTAGCAAGACTCTATCTGATGAACATCCCTGTGCTATTGTCAGAGCCATAGATGCGTAAATTAGAGTGAACAAAAGTGCCAACCACATATACAAGGTGAAAGGCAAAAGCGGCATCTCCCAACTAGCTAATATCCTGATTATAAATTGTAAACTTATTATAAAAACATCCATATAAAAGTACGAAAAAGAAGAGAAATTGGTTGACGATTGAAATGTATAAATTATATGCATATATTCTTAAAGAGTATGGGTAGTAACAATATACTTTTATCTAAGTCATTTAAATAAGTTACCTGGGTGAAGGCGCAACACAGGTTACTGCCGTCCTAATGCACGGAGTAGAAAAATCTAGTGCTACATATTCTTCGTACCAAGAATATAAGGCAGCTAGAAAACAAAAGTAAATAGCTTTACAATCATAAACAAATATCTGTTTAAAGGTATTAAATATAAGAGTAGGTACAGGTCTGTAAAATATTAATGTACAAATGTATACTAAGGACATACTGATGCCAACATCCGCACGGTCCTCGACAAGACTTCCTATTACACCTACTCCAGTACTATTTTCATATATTTCTCCCCACTGGTGTTCATCATCCCTTACTAATTCAATTGTACAGTTCAACCACCTAAGGAGAAATTTGAAATAAAATTATTTGTTATTATCTCTGCTGCATAATATCAATTGCTTCTTTATGAATTTAAATTTAAATATCATATTTATGTAGAATACCTGCAAAACTCTTCTACAATTCTAGTTTCAGTCCCATCACGTCCTCGAGATTCTATGATGGGATCTAGATCTAATAGAACATAGGGTTTATATGTAAAACAAGCAACTTTTAATGTTTTACCAAATAGATTAGACATGTCGTGAGGAAACAAATTATAATTGTTATCAAAACTACTCGTGCAAGAGTTCCAGCGATCTATGTATAACGGTTGATTAGATTCGTGATCAGGACCAATGAATTTATGCGATACTAGATCATAGAATATGCAGTCTGATATGCTGTTTAAAACAGGAAGAACCAATAGTAAATTCGCGAGGAATTTAGTCGGTTTCATGTTTAAAATATCTAATAGGTTTTCCAAGCCAACTTGATTTTCATTATATGGTAAAAATATCACTCTCTTGTCGCTTCTTCTTGTGTTTCCTAAATGGTTAACTTCGTCAAAAGATATCATAAAATCTCGTGGTTCTCGCATTCTTACTACATAATCTGAACAGCCCATTTCCGATACTTGCAGAATTTGATTCGTCAGGTTTTCATATGGAGTAATGGATGTAATGGTCATGGGCAAACTTATATCGATAGGTGTTTCAGAGACAAGAGTCAAGCAGTATGATTTTTTCAGATATTCATTAATAATTGTTTGTAACAAGATTTCGATTGGCAGCATATTTGTTACCATTTGCAACATCATGTCTTTGTTTACACTAAATTATTATAAAATAGAAAAATACATAGAAACTTTGGATTTTTATCTGTTAATCCTTTATGAGTATCATCACGACAATAACTGCAATGACTTTAGTCACCGTCTTATTATCTTATAAACATCAACGATGTGCATATTTACCTATATAATTTCTGATTATTAGATATCTATCATATAACGGAAACATGTAATGTTGAAAAGCCTTTCAAATAGTATAAAAGTGTTTACTGACGTAGTTTTTTCTTTGATAAATGCATAAAGATCATTCAAATAATTATGTTGGCACATAAATTATGCTAGCATTACGTATTCAAAAAGTTGTTTGATTAAATAACGGATAACTATAGTTTGTTCAAGTAGTAGGTATATCAAAGGTTTTTAGTAATTACGGTATCAGCGTATAGGTATATATTCAATTGATTATAATAGTTTATTGAAAAAATTATAACCCAGCTACAATTAGGTAATTTAACCAAGTTTACACTGTAATTTAAATGAATTGTATTTACGCTGATAAATAACTTCGGAATTAATTTAATATATATATTTTTAACCACAGGTATGTAATATTATGTTATCTGTGCCACAGGTCTGTGTCACATCGAAATTAACATTGGTAAATATTTATTTTTTATTGATGCTTTCTCCGGGACGATAGTAGAACAGAAAACACTACAGTTAATGGATATTTTGTTATTGTTGCACGACAAGACACACGCGGTTAGCGCCACCACCAGTCTCTACTTTCAGTTCGTAATCTTGATACTTGAATTATTATCAATTATAAATTTTGCTCCTTATTTAATATTATAGCTCATTATTTTTTAATTTTATTATATAGTGCATATTTTATATGATATCATCATATATAGTATCATCTCAACTAAATTGAGTATTGAGTATATTCAACCATTTATTTTACAAAATCTAGATACTTTCACATTTCTGATTATTATTATTAAATTAGACTAACGTTAAGATATGATGGCGATGATATGTGCTGAAAAGACCCAATACTTTTAATAAAAAAGATACAAAACAGTATCTGTACTAGGTATACATAACAATGTTTATATATTATAAATATAAAATATTTCTTGTAGATTACATTAGTATTAATCTAAGATATTTTAAACGTACTGTTCATATAAGTAAATGAAATTAAGTTAAATGACCCGTGATATCTAACTTCGTCAAAAGTAAGAAATCAAGACTGTTCAGTCAATATAACCGCGCTATTTGAATATTGTGTGTGGTCGCCGGGCTTCCTCACAGACGGTTAATAAAGGAGCGTTAAAAAAATCTGTAGCTACTTCACACGCATTCCGACTCCTCGTCGCCCATACGGCACCGGTGCAATTTAGAAGGTTAATCTATATTTGTATAAATTACAGATTCTTATCGAGGTGTGATTAATATAATAAATTCTGTATTACTGGTTTTACAATGGATTCCGTTTTGGATATTTGTCAGTGCCCATTGCAAGATATTATACTATAGATAGGTATTCTATAGATACCTAACAATCCATAAGGGATGAACATTGGTAATTTAATCACGGCAGTATATTTTCTTATCTGTGTCACATATTATATATTGATCTTCTATCTGTGATTTCGTAAACAAATATTAAGTAAGTAGTATTATGTCTTTAATTATTTTATATATTATTTTATTTTTAAGTAGAATAGCAAATAAGCTGATGGCGTACCTGACGAAGAGTAGAAAAAATCACCATGAACATCACAAAATGAATTTGTGTGTAGCCTCATACACTTTAATTATATTGTCACATCTATTATTAATTATAGTAAATCGATAATGAGAAATGTTGCTTATAACATATGTAATAAATTGTTTTTTCATTTATTTGCTACACTTGAACATGAAATTATTACTACAATTAATATTTTATCCGTATGTTTAGCAATATAATTAGATAAATATTATAATCGTCAAATAATATAATATATATACAAAAAATGCAGAGTTTATAAACCCATACCCTACTCTTAATGTGCAGGTTGTGTAAACAGTAACATTAGTCGTGGCAGTGTCAAGGGAGAGTGCTGCAACGAAGCGTAATACGAGACATAATATCACTTTGAACATTTCAAACATATGTATGTGTATACAGAAGATTTTTAATTAGGTCTTATGTAACAAAATAAGTAATGCCAATGGTAAAGCCGCAACCTTTATTTATTCATAATTAAGTACAATGTCAATTTTAATTTTCATATACAATACATTAACTGTATCATACTTATGGGTAAGTATATGTATAGTTAATCTGTCTTCCTAAGTCTGGCACTTGACACTTCGATGGATTGAAGCCAATGCTTAATTTCTTCAGGACATTGTGGTTTTTTATCTGCTCCTGGTATACCTTTGAAGAGTGTAGCTGAATCTACGTTAATAAGATTTTGTCTAGAGAGAACGATGGCCCGCACAAAACCGTCGCTTAATGTTATAAACTTCTGTTCGATGAACAATGTTTTATCTTCCCAGTAGGCTAACTGAAAATAAAATACATATATATATATATACATATTTACTTTATACGAAGTACTATTTCTCTAAGTCACTATACTGTGTGTAGGTAAGGTAAGATTTGTACAGGTACAATATTTGTATTGACGTACAAAATATCAGGTTTATATCTAACTAGTTACTCGCCCCGGCTTCACACGAGTGTATAAGTATTATATATGTATATAAACCTTCCTCAGTCTCATCATTAACTATGATATAAAATATCAAACTTAAACCTTAACAATATGATCAAATTTGCTATTTATTAATTACTGCACTTCATGCCTCCATACTGTATGAGGTTAATAAAAAAGCGTCAAAGACATTTAGTTATATCATCATAAACTCTTACTTCATCCACGGTAACTAGGGGTAGGTCACGATTTATAATTGGGACTAGTGCCAATGTTTGGGATCACTTCGCGGTTTCCTATAGAAATTCGCTACGATGGGCTGCCTGATCTGACTCCTATCGACTTCCACGTGTTTAGCGCAGGAGGATACACCATATCATTATTGTCCATTAAAGAAATATATGGATACCTTTGTTTCCACCTTGTACGCTGTAAAAATAGGAATAGTTCTTCGGTATCGAATACTCGAGGCTCCTTGAAGTGCGTGTCCATCGACCGCCTTTATATTGGCATAGATGCCTGTGCGGTCGTAAAAATGAAATCTTGCAAAGTCCAGCTCGCGTACATACCGAGCATTATTCATGTGCCTGAGGAATATGTCTACATCCTGTGTTGTGCAGAAACCTGGAATATTATATTTTAATTTAAAAGTTAATTTAGTCAGCAACAACTTTGCCTCCTTATGACCTTACATATTACTTAAGTTACAAGTTACATTAGAAAAAAATTGTTTAACACACCGATCAATATATTATATAATATATCTTATTTCATTATATTCAATTTAATAAACTTTATTCATAAAATAAAACAACAGAATTGATGCTTGAATTAATACGGTACTTCATAAATTAAATTATTGTAAATATTGCAAGTATTTAATAAATATTGAATATGGGTCTAGATCCTATCTATTGTAAAGAATATTGACCGAACTCTATTTAAAATTAGAATTATTAAAATTATAATTTCTGAACAATATAATCGGGTGAAAATATATTAACTTACGATCAAAACAAATTAAATAAAATACATTAGCAACTTATATGTAGGTACCTACATTTTGTGTCTATCACTTGTAGGACGTTGATTGCATAATTCATAATTTTATTGTTTACATTCAATAATGCTAATTACCTAGTTTAATTTTCCACTAACATTGTACGAAGAGAATGCTATGACTCGCTATATAATTATTTATAGATGTAAACCTCATTAATAGGGTAACAAAATTCCATGGAAGATTTATAGTATTTTTTTGTAGTTTGTAATAAATATAATAATAGTCCGTCAGCACTCAGAGAAATCATCCTATGTAATACACGGACATTCCTCTAATTATTACCAATACTTCTATTATAAATCTGAAACTATGTTAATTTGTCTAAATATCTATTTGTTTGTTATATGTTCACGGGTATATGGCTGAACCGAATCCAGTGAAATTTAACTTAAAGATAGGTGGTACGAAATTGTGGGTAGCAACTTGTTTTTATTAGACTTAATATTGTATCAAAAAGTTGTACAGTATTAGCACAGATAACATAATATGTATTAGTAATTGTAGTCTATTAAACCTTATATTAATTTAGAGTAGTATAAAGCGATGTATATAAATTTGTTTATATATAGGTATATTCTAACAGATACGAGATAGCTAAGATTGTCAAAATAATACAGGAGATACCTACATTTCTTAAATATATCTATGTATATGGATTAGTGTGTATAATATGAACATTAATAAAATGGAAACTTACCGTAAATGGTTGTAGTGTCATTAACACCACACTTCTTTGAAAACAGTCTTCCGATTCCTATCGTAAAGAGGATGCGTAGAAAATAATTCACATCCCATAGTATGTACAAGATAGCAATGATTGTCGCAACTATGCAATACATTTCTTCTCTGTATTTATATAAATTTGTTTATTATGTCTAATACGAGTATTAGTAAGTGACTGCCACTTGACTCGTCTGTTGCCTTCAATATTCACTATGAATGCAATGAATGTTGCTGTAAGTAAGGTGTCACTGAACCGGTTTACTGCCTTGAAGTCTGTTACAATAGCAGCATTAAACAATTCGAATCAAAATTCAAGTTCAAGTTTAAACATTAACCTCGACCCTACCTACGCACCTGAGGATAGAATAATTATAACTATCTTTGTTTTATATCATTGTCCACTGTATCTACTTACTAAGCTAACCAATTGTAAATATTATATTTATTTGAATGCAAGATCGTATAATATTATATCAAAAAGTACCTACTGTAAAATATCTACTGTAAATGCATTCAGTATTCTTGCGATGCGAGTGACGGGGTAACTAGTACTAAATTTTTCTACACAGACATTCTCCAAACTGCTTTTTTTGGAAATAATACATTCTGTGTTTATTTTTTCATTAACTTATAAGTTAGTTAATTATACTAATTATGTGTAGTGTATTATAAGGTAATAATGAACAGAGGAAATAGATATAGCTTATATAATTGTTACGAACTGGAAAAAATTACAGCTAATTGTAAAAAGTCATATAGACCTATACGTAGTAATTAACATTTAAAATGTATACCTATCCCTCTTCTTGTTATTTAATTTAATGCTTGTTATATTCATACTGTGAAGCCAGATCTTTATGTAGTCTGGACAGTTGGGTTTTTTATTGAAGCCAGGCAAGCTTTCCAGAAGATATTCACAAGATTCCCCGTTTTCTCCAATAGCATGCTGACGAGATATTATTGAGTATCGTATTTTGTTGTCGGATATTGTCGCCAATTCATGTTCAAGAAATAATGATCGTTCGTCCCAATAAACAAGCTGTAACATCACCATCTCTCAAATTCTGTTCATCAATTATAAGCAATTGCTTATTTTTAACAATATTTCATCATTGTATACATACATACTGTATATGTATCATCTATATATATATATATACTAGCAGACCCTGCCACGAGTTGCTGTGGTTAAGGTTCTTACATAAAATAATATTGCGAGTGAAAGATAGGATAATCTTTCAAGTTAAATCAAATTGCACACAATGTGCAAATCAAGTTTGCAATCGGTTCAGTAGTTTAGGAGTCCATCGTGGACAAACAACGTGACACGTATTTTTTATATATAAGAATATGTATACCAATACTATATATTTATGCTATTGTAGTATAGCACATACAGGTATAAGCCATGCCTAATTTTCTAGAGCACCAAATTAAAAATATTGCAATTTTGCAACCGCATATCTTAAAACATTAGTAATTAAAACGTATTTCTTCACAGTTCGAAACTAACGTCTATTTAGAGAGATTGTAATGAAATGCTTGGCATAGATTTTATTACTTTCAATACAATTATTGGCGACAGTTCATATCTCCAATCTTACCTTTGTATTTATTTTATAAAAAGCCAATAAGTTCACTGGGTCCATGCATATTGTGTGGGTACAACCTTGTAGAGACTTTATTTTCAAGCTCCTACTTTTACGATATATACCAGTACGGTCATAAAAATGATATCTCGCAAAATCTATCTCGCGAAGTATTCTGGCCAAACGAAGATTCTGAAATCTTATATCGCAGTCGTGAAAACTACAAAAACCTGGAAAATAAAGTTACCTTAATGTGTGACATTCCTTCACAAAAAATACGATTTAATTGATATTTTTAATAAAATCGGTTGAATAAAGATATTTTTAATTAACGAAGTTCGCTTAATTATTTATTCTATCAAGGTCTGTCTATAGGTGGGTAGCTATCTATCTGACGGGTCTAGGTAGCAAATTGTAAGATGCTCGCCCACAGTAGATCTATGTACGTATAAATCTAAGCACGTGACAATAGCCCAAACCCCTCAATAAAAAAATCTATCTATTTCTTCATAGACACAGATAAAATAATATTACATAATACATACTTGTCCTCAGTGACGAATTTGTCCAACCAATTTGGACCAATGTCCGTCGAATACGCTAAGCTAAATACCCAGATGTAGATTGTGAGATTTTTTATTGTGTTTTTATCATATAAATATTTAATGACAAAAGTTTCCTAAATTCCCACGGAATATATCTCTGTTAATTAAATGTTCAAACTAATTGAGCACACACGGTCGAATTTTTAATATCCTCATAATATAACGTTGAAGCAGTATATATCTTAAATATTCACATTGCCCAGCCATGAAAAATGAAACTAATCTATCCTAATATCCTCATCGTGTAATATAAATTCAGAAGTGTGTGTGTATACCTTTTCTGTATGTTACCTATATGTCTGTTACCCTTTCACGACTGCACAGCTGATCTGAACTTAATAAACTTTGGCGAGAAAATAGATAGCACCTCGAAGGCGAACATAGGATGTCTTTAATATGAAAAACACAAACGAAGTTGCGAGCAACATCTAGTAATTAATAAAGAACTAAAAAGGTAAAGTTATTTTTATGTCTTACCATAAATGGTCGTAACCTCATTTAAAGATATTGTCTTTTGATATATTCTACCACTTAACACTGTGAAATATGTACGCACAAAATAATTGACGTCAAAAATATTAATTATAACTATAAAAAAATATAGAATAACAATAAAACAGTCCATAGTGTTATTATAGTGTAAGTAAATGTACTTACTTCATTAAGCAAACAGGTACTGATTTGAGTAGTCAGTAAGTATGGCCAACAGCATAGTACCTGTGAATTCAAATTTTATGTATATCGAGTACAATTACACTTACTGAATAGCAATCCATCCAAATTGAATACAGCATATTGTAACATAAAGCCACTATTAAGTAGCTTAGTACAGAAATGCTTAATGGTATTTTTTACCTTTAAGTACTTAATGTTTATTTTTGTTTATTATATAACACTATGTTTATTTTTGTCTCTGTTAAAACAAATTTTTAAGGATGATTTTGTTGAAAAGAATATTTAAAAAAATATTCTATTATACTATTTATATTTAATACTATTTATTTTTAATGTTTACCTATTTTAAACACTCTCTTCTTCGCAAAAAAAATGTAGAATCGATGTAGTGGTACATTTGTACAACTTAAAAACAAAATATATTGAATATTTTTTTTTTGTCTTGCAATATAATGCATCATTTTTTTACACTGACATTCCAAAGATATCCAGAGCAGTAGTAGCTCATAAATTCTAATCTAATATAAGAATTGGGTGGGGGATGGAATCTCCTTTCATAATGAGAAAACATATAATACGATCCACTCGATCCTAATTTAGAGTATTGTCACGGATTTGTAACTGTCTGTGATAATAGCTGCAGGGGTCATGATGTTTGTTTGATTAACTCATATAGAACTTATTTTAACAAACTTGTCGCTGTAGCTCTCTACTTGAACTTTTTTCACGTAGGAAAGAATTAAATACATTTTCAGTCTCTAAGTAATTTCGACACTTACGAGTACATTGTATTTTTAGATGAATATAGTGAAGGAAATATGAATAAAAAATGACATTGTGCTCTAAATTTTATTAACTTAAAATCAACAATATAAAGACGCGATTGCAAAGCATTTGATATTAAAGATAATTTTATTTCGATTTGGACGAATACAATTAAATAATAAGGTACATATAAGTATTACATGTACATATAAGCTACATATACTTATTGCAGAACAAAAACGTTCATATCGGTGAACACATAAAATACTATGCTTATAATTTTTTAAATTAGTGATGTGAATTACATTGGCGACAATCGGGTGTGCAAGGGTTACACGGCGCTGGAGCCTGGTGTGGATGCTGCAGTGGCAACAGTAACGGCGCGGATAAGGCTGGTAGTGCTGGCAATGGTACAAGCCATTCAGAGCCGCATACTCGTCCCATAACTAGGGCGGGTAATAGAGGAGCACGAGGCCCCACAGGACGGAATGCAGACCACCTAGATTCTACTTCTTCAGTACTTGACACTGAAGCATCGAAGCTTGTACTTGTGCCGAACGGTGTCGGTGGTTTCTCTCTATGTGCCTATAACAATGCACATAGTTGTAGTTAATTTTAAACGTTATTTTTTTATTATATTTTATAATATGAGATATAAATAATAAGTAATAATAGATATGAGTGTAATATACAACTATGTTCGACATAAAAACTATTTCATAAATACTGAAATTAACAAAGGATTATTACAGAATTGAACTCTAATCTAATCATAATCTAATCTAAATTTAAATTTAATAATTATGTCCTCGCTATTTCCGTATAGGTACATTATTCATTCAGACGTTTTCTACTTAAAATAGACATAAATATATATTGCAAAGAAGCCCCTTCTTTATTAATTTCACTAATAATTAATATATATATTACGTATAAATACTTGTTATAAATTATTTTAATGTAGTGCTTACATGGGTCGCATTGAAATGTTCGACGGCGCGAAGTAAGTCGTGGTTGCAGCGGCGCAGCACTAATTCGAGGACGGACCTCTTTTTACCCGGAAACAGCTTCCTTAACATTTCAAGACCGGCAGTGCTTACCGCTCCTTCAGCTTCAGCAATCTCTTCACTTTCACCAGGCCTATTTACATTAAATACTTTATATAGCGACTCCTTATATCCATGTCTACTAATATTGTAAAGAGAAATGATTTATTATATTATATTTTTTTTTGTAATGGCCTTGTTTATTCATCGAGGTAGGTACACGTTGTAAAAAGTATTGCTATGAAAGCTGTGTTTTGGTTGAAAGGTAAGATAAGGCTCTGGAACGGCAACGCATGAATGATGTCACAGGCGTCATATGATAACATAATGTTGTAATGCTAATCGTGTAAGTATATAGGCGACGGTTACCTCTTACTATCAGGAGGGTCGTCAGCATTTTTGCTATTGCAATGAAGTAGAATTATAAAATTAATGAAACTAAAAAGTACCTACTGAGACTGATTGTATTCTTTCATTGACAGCGTGTAACAAAGACTAAAAACCACTCCGACAACAACACAGTATACAGCTAGGAGGCAAGATTCATTTTGATCTTAAGATATTCATAAAAAAAGATTCTGAGTTTATTCTTCGCATCATACATAATATCATGTTTTTGATACAACTGACATAACGAACAGTTATTGGTTTCGCGTATGATACACCTACACCTACACCTTCGCGGCGCGGCGTCGCCTATACAACGTCGTACATCATCACAGACATCACAAAACAGTGTATAGACTAGCCTGCGGTAGATATCTCTCATAACTTGCTATTCCTATACAATAATATATCTGTACCCTATAAAGTCACTACTACCAATTTTCATCCTATAAAACAGAACACAGTTTGTAAACTTAAAAATATATAACATACCTTCGTATAGTTGCAGAAGAATTTCCCGCGGAATCTGGAGACGTACTGCAACAATCGGGTAGAGAGTCGCTTGTCTCGCTATCTATATGTATTGGCTATTGGAAAAGAAGAAAAAAATACAATATTCATATTATATTAGAATACGATTGCGAGATATTGCTACATATGTTATTGCATAATACAGATATTGGCGACATTTACCATAACCTACTAAATTATTAAACATGGTTTTAACCAGTAAAATATCTTAGTTTGAAACATTAACTTTGAATTTAAGCACTCCGTCAATTTATTTTTATTTTTTTACACGCTAAGTAAAAAAAATAAAAATTGCGCTTCCGTTATATTCAAATATGAAATACACAACTTCCTTCCTAGATATATTTATTGTACTCATCTGTGGCAGTAAATCTAACGCATAATCATGTGAATACAACAAATTATGAGAACCAAAATAAGTTTGTCCTATATGTACAGATACTATATATACTATATGTTTAATAATAATACCGTCTGATCATCAGCAGCGGAGTCAGGCTCAGGACCAGGGCTAGGGCATGGCGCAGTCACGCGCATTCCATATATACGGCCAGGAGGCAGTGCTTCCAATGGAGTCCCACTTTCAACAGAAGCTAAGTGTAGGGCAATTTTATCTTCAGCCGCTTGTTGTCTTTTTAATGCCACCTAATCATAAAATAAATAGTTTACATGAAACTACTCTAAATAATAGGTACTACTTGGACATTAATGGCTATTGCTAGGATAACTTCCACGGCATTCTCCTTGGAATCGAGAGTGGATAATTCATAATAATTCGCCACGATAGCTAATTGATCCATTCAACTGATTCAATATGTTATCTACTCATTCTTTACTGAAGTCCTGCTACACCAACGACTTACTCAAGGAAATAACTTTTTCACCACTATCCATAAAAAATGTGCCTATATGAAACTACCTATTACAGTAATTAACTATGGACGTACGTTTATTACAATAAATATAAGACAAGACTCTACTTGCCGAGCATGTGCCCCAACATATATATATCTATATGTTTGAAGGTTACGAGTAGTAAATATATCTACATAATATTTCCTAGGAATACGTTTATAAAGTTAAGGTTTAGAAAACGGGGTACGTTTTCTATTACTTAATAAAACTTTAAACTGAATAAAGTTTTTCTGTCTTTACTTGATATCTACTTTAAGAGACGTAGGTATTTTCTTTTAATATATTATAGGTACCTACTTAATTCTGTATGGAATAGTATACTCTTGATAAATTAATTTAGTGGAAAATCAATGACAAACATTGGTTGTAATTGTATTTGCGCTGAGCAGCCACCCCTAGATAGCCTCCGGCCTCCACGTTGGACTCTGTTAGGTCCCCAGGCGAGATCGTCGCGCCCGTTTCATTGATAACACAAACAGAACTCGATCCGCGTACACAATAAATAACAACTGTATACCAGTTCACAAAATACTGAATAGCATATTTATTTTACTTAGGTGCTTATGGTTAAAATACTCCATATAAATGTTATATATAATTCATTTACAAAAGTTATTACTAATTATAAATTAATTGACTACTTACCTACTTATAATCAAAATAAATGTTTACTTTTTGTATCTATATTTTCCTTTAGTATTACACTCACTATTTTACCATACTTTGATAAATAGTATATAGTACATTTAAGTCATAAATTAAAATCATACCTACAAATTACAATCTATGTACTACGATAATCCAATGGTAATAAAAAGAGTCTATCAATATAAGATATAGGTACATATATATAATACAATATGTATAGGTATATATAAGAATCAATAGACTATATGTAAATATTATGTAGTACCTGTTGTTTTATTATAGATAGTATTTTTAAAGATAATATGCACTAGACATGATAATTAGGTATCATTTACAGTATCATAATGCAGACATGCAATTTTACTGATTAACTGCATTAAAAATACTGTTTACTTTTTTGATTCAACGAATTTGTTCGCTATTTATAAGATATTATATGAGATATAAGGGCATAATTTAATAATTCGTTTAAAATTCGGGATAAAAGTGCTGGGACATCGACAGCGATGCATTACAGTGTAAACCGATCGATGCTTCATCCGGCGTCTACGGTAAACACGTGCCACTTGTTTAAATAAACTGAGACGCCGCATTAGCTGTTCTCGATTTCACTACATTAGAACACATTAACGCCTCTAAATTGCATGTTATTTTAGAATTAGTTTTCCGTATTTTAATCGCTGTCTTTATTATGCGGTAGGTAAGAGTCCATATTGGGATTTTTCATCTCTACAAAGTCGGCTTTTGTAAAAGGACAAAAATAGAACATAGGCGTTACCATTAAAAAAAATTGCTGTAAGTTTACAATTTATGATAACATCCGTTGCCATTTCAAAGAGCACTTATATCCTCGTTATCATAGCCCTCAACATGGGGTCGTATGCTTGTTTGCCATCACAGTTGTATAAAAAAAACGTCAACATCAATGGTCACTATGAACGTATTGTTCAAAAAGTATTCGATAGCACAGTGACCTAGTAGTAGGTCTCGAATTCAAATCTAGGCGATAAAAAATCCTTATAATATATATTTGCTCCACAAGTCCTTCTGCGAGTTTGGAATGCCATTTGCACTCGCCCCCTATCGTCCAGTAAAGCTGTAGAGCATTAGTGTAGACCAGCAACATTAGAGTAGTCAAAAAAAACTATAACAAATATCATTATTTTGTCTAAAATAAGACTGTGATGTGACGATGGAATAATTTATGAATGCATGACAGATTTCGGTGAAGAGTGTATCTCTATTCTAATAATTACAGAGATATATGACAAGTGTTGCGTTCATGATATCAATCGTGATATAGTCAGAAAGTGTTCAAAACATTAACTTTATTTTTTGCTTCATTCCGACTTTTTGAAATTATTAATCAGGTACCTAAATCCCTATATATCTATGTATAACATATTTATATTATACAGATATCTATAGGGATTTAGGTACCTGACACATATATATTTACCGATTATGGATACTATGAGAATCAAATAGGTAATTGATACATACCTGAGCGGCCATAATGCGTTGTCTTTCCTTAATGAGTCCACATTTTGGACACTGGCACAGTCTATAGCTGCAAGCCTTCTTATGTCCACGAAGGCTTGATATGAGACCGTGGTTGCGGCATCGTGCACATTTCGGAACTCGTGCACGTCCGTTGTTCATAATATTTAGCCACCTAAATATAATAAATATCTAGTGTTAAATGAAATTCATACCAAAACCCTAATGGGCAGATCATCCAGAGTATATGGACCCGGTTTCCTTTTGTATTTCCGAATTACTTTTTGAACTTTATTAAGAACACTCATAATTTAAAATTAATTCATTAAGAAACCAACTACAATCATATGAATTCATACCTCGGCCAAGAGGAGTACGACGGGCATCACAAAATAAATTTGTGATATCCGTGATTTACCTATATATGTTTATAGGCGATGATTACCGTTTTCCATTATCTAGCGGAAAGCGGAAGGGTAGTACCTATTTACCAACCTTAAATTCGACTCAGTTTTTATATGTTCCGTAAAGTATCATTTATTCTTTTGTATATCTACTATTGTTTAATTGGCTTCCAAAATGCTTAATTCAATTGCGTTATCTTTAATAACACTAATCCAATTTCTATGAATCGTTTTACAACAAATAACGAATTTTGTGTGATCTATACAAATTTGAACCAACGCTTTGGAACAGTCTCTCTATTACTACCTTTTTGACTATATAAACAAAATTAAAAAAGTCAGTTAAAAATTTAATGTCAGTAAAAATGATCGTATGGTAAAAATATGTTGTAAGAAGACCGGGCTTCGAATATGACATTTATAAGAATTTTTAAAGTGGCTAGCTTATATTAAGCCGTACAAGCTTTGGTTTTAACACTAATTTATCTCCTTTACTATCCTCATCCAACTTTAATTTTGTCAAAATTCATAATCAACTGTGTATTATTATATAAAAAAAATTATAGTGAACATATTGTAAAACTTACAAGTAGGTAACAAAATCTTAAATCGTCTATTTATTTATCAAAACAGTTTACCAAAACTTCACAAATAAGTAGATAGTCAAAAAGGATAAACTATATTGGAACATTTTGTCACTACATTATGTCATTTTATTGTAATTCAAATTGGCTGACAACCATCCTACATAAATTACCGGCTGGTTGAAATTATTAGATACATATAAATATTTTAGTAAAAAAAACTAAGAGTTAAATAAGGGAATATACTGTTTTCTGTGCGGTCATTATTTATATCTACGTATAATTAGTAAAAATCACGGGATCTTACCACGTTTCATTTAATATCGGGAACACAGCAAATAAATATAAAACGTGGTAAGATCCCGTGATTTTTACTAATTATACGTTTAAATAAGGGAAGTTCAATATTATAAAAGTATTTTATTTTAATAAAGGATTTTGAAAATACGGATTAAGTATTTAGTATTTTATATAAAAAAATATGTTTTTTGCAATTAAAATGCAAAATACAAGAATGATTGCTGTTTTCTATTTAAATCATTTTGTAAACTATTTTGCACATTCCTGACTGCAACTACTTAGGGAATAACTTTAGGCAGTAAACAGCTTGGCGGCTGAAATAGGCGAGACAGAGGCGACTTAGTACCTTGTAGATACCAATTGTATTTTTAAAAGTCTGTAATAAAACAATTTAGCAGCCCATTTTATAGTAAGTGGTACCTAACAATTGCCTAAAGACAACAAAAGTAGTTTCAGAATATTTTATAATATAGTAAGTAAAGGTAAGTTGGTATAGGTCTAATGTATGAAGGATTTTTATGACTTAGGTATTGAAAAGATATTTGTAGCTAGTACATAGCTACAAATATCTTTTTTATAGTTCTGTAAATGTATTCCAGAAACTATAACATTATTTTAAATTTAAAGGTAGAATTTATTACAACAGTACCTACCTACCTATTACTATAACTCAGTACTTGTATTGTTGTAACAAAGCTGAATAGATTTTTTTAAACAATTTTGAAATGTACACATGAAATATTGTTAGATACCTTAATTATGCACTATTCTCTTATTTTGAATCTTTTTGCATGGCCTTAGTGTAGAAACACGAAATACCTGTAATGTTTTATTTTGACTAAGTACATATTCCAAATTTGTCACTTTGTCACAACAGCTGATCGGATCCTAATGAAAAACAAATTAGTCGGTATTGTGATAAAGGTCAATGTTACATTTAGGTAAATGAAAATGTACATGAAGTCGTGGTTAACGTTAAAAGATATATCATCATTGCCTTGCCCTTAGCCCATTACTTGGTGACGGCGCTCTATAATAATAATCATACATAATCTCAGGCGACGATTCTCACAGTGCCATCTAACCGAATTTAAGCTAGCTAAAGCTTGTGTTAAGGGTACGGAATAACTGATACAAATACAGAGATTTATTATACATAGAAAACACCCAGACCGATACAAACAATCATACTCATATGTATGAATACAAATGTTTGTGCCGCGCGAGGAATCAAACCAGCGACCATCGGAATTAGGCGGTGTTCTAAACCGCTAAACTACCGAGGCCGTCAATAATTAGAGTTTTTAATATTAAACAGTGCATTAGTGCAGATGCTTTAGTGGCTTACCTTATACATAAACAACAGAGGCGATTAATATTATGACGAAAGTCCAAGTCTTCCAGTACAACTCAAATATCGAATCGTCAATGTGTCCATATATATATTATACGTAGGTATACATTTAAAATATACAATGGCACTATGTCACTTCACTTTTAAAATTACTGCAACACTATATAATACCGCCCACGCATCTCTCCGCCCTGAAACTAGTATCATGAAAGCGGAGTTGATAAAAAAAATGTTAAGATGGAAGGCGTAAAAAATCCACCCTCAATACGCGAGACCTATATGCGAAACTAACCTTCATATCCATACAGTTAAATGTCACTTTAGATTTATCTTGCTACATTACGATGCAGCATCCGGGCTGTACCGAAACGCCCTTCCATGGAAGTCCGCCAATAGTAACATCAGACTCTCGGGATTGGTTACATTAGATTTCAGCAGGAAGCTTTTTTGCTGAATATAGTTTCTTTTCGCGAAAACGTTACGTAGTAATCAGTTAGCAGTATACGTCTTCTGTCATATAAGCTACATTTACAGATAGGATAATATGTCTGATCAGGTTAAATACCTATCATATTTATCCTCAATATTAACAGAAGCAAATGCGAATTTAGTAGGTATTTATTAATTTATATGTTTTTGTATAAAAGTAGAATTTTTAATTGTCTTACATTACGTACCATCCTGAAGTAAAATAAACGATGTCTAGAACGATGACCTTAATTTTCCCGCAATGCTGCTGCAAATTAGACACTATTTTATTAGAATTGTAATTATATTTATAACAAACAAGACCAAAAGTTAAATTCTTTATATGATGATGAATCCTTTTTATTTTGATTTACGTCCTATTATTTTGATCTGAAACTAATAAATAAAAAATATTTATAATATTTAATACGAATAAATAGACGTTGACATTCAGATATATCACATTGAGGTATTAAGTATCTAATCGTACCATCACCATTTCCCACCAAGTCGTATCCCCACCCTTATTTTTTTTATTTCTGTTTACTTTTGTTTACACCCTGCAGTCATTGAAGATCATATCGTAATAGTAATAAAGGATGACGTATATCTACTCTAGCTGAAAGATATGTAATGTCTAGCAGACGATTAATTATTTTATTATTATTAATTATTCCACAATATGCATATTATATATATACTTATATTTGCTATGCTTAATACAATGGTTGGTGAACTGAACGTGAACTAACATATAAAGTTATTCCAGCTTTAATTTCGCCATTCGCTAGGAAAACGAGTAACTCTTGAGATATATAATAAATTATTCCCTTTATAAAGCAATCTACTGTCATGTCATTGCTGATCATAGTTTTCTGCTATTGTAGGTAGGTACAGTATTTCATTTTTAATATCTTGCCTGTAGATAAGTAGTTGTGTTTTTGCAATGTAAACAACATTCTTGAATTGTCTACATTTCAGTGGAATGACTACTCATTCTGCTCACTAAAATGTCCAGACATGTGGCGTGGTGGGCCGGGTTATTGCTGGCTGGTTCATCCGTCATACTCGTGAACGAGTGCTACTTGTAGGGACTGGTCTGCTCTTATCACTACGACTGATTTAATCGTATTATATATTTATATTTGACCCTAATAAATTAGTGCTGGTTGGTAGTTTGTATTCACACGTTTCGACTTGTAAATGTGTACTTACAAGGATTATTTAAACGAGCAACACTTCTATTGTGTAGTATATTTAGGTACCTACAAGCTGTGCCCGCGGATACACCCTCATGAAATTTATATGTGTTGCCTATGTGTTATTCGGATGTAGGAGCTTTATTCCTGGAAAGTTTAATCAATATTGACAGCCTCGGTGGTCTAGTGGTTTAGTAGGTACACCGCTTTACTGTCCGATGGTCGTGGGTTCGATTCCTCGCACGGTACAAACATTTGTATTCATGAGTATGATTGTTTGTATCGGTCTTGGTGTTTTCTATGTATAATATGTATTTAATTTAAAAAAATGTATCCATGTATTTACATCAGTTGTCTAGTACCCATAACACAAGCTCTGCTTATCTTGGGACTAGATGGCGCTGTGTGAATTGTCTTGAGATATTATATTATATTAGGTATACTATATATATTAGTTAGTTTTACAAACATCCATCTATACTCACAAATCTTCGTGTTTATAATATTAGTATAGGTATTAGGTACGATAAGATATGCCAATATATTTTATAGTATTCGTAAAATAATAAAATGTGAGAACTATGTCTTGAAATTGTATTGAATTTGCCTCCAAAAGTCTCAATACAGTTCTTTTTCAGTAAAAACTGACAAAATATTATCTGTACCCCGCATCATTCTACAACAAGCCTTACATCTGCAAAAATGTGCAAATCAATCTATTTTTGGAAGGTAGGAAGTAATCCTATTTTGATTATTCAGTTTTCCACAGACAGACGATGATCAAAGTGATTCAATATATACCTAACAAGGACGGAGGCTATTTTAAAATACTGGGGACTAGTGGTCCCAGTGATAGCAGTGTCCTACGACAGTCGACAGATTTACTTCAACAGGGTTCTCACTACGGAAAACCGTTACAGCGCTCGCTCAGACGATAGACTTTGGAGTTCACCATCATAGAATGGTGAATTCCGTATATTCATAAATAAAAAAAAGTTTTATTCAATATCCATAAAACAGACTTACCAATTATAACAGAATCATCAAAATCAGTAAGGGGCGGCTGGCTTTTAATTTAATAGGATTGTGATGAAAAAAATATAGTATGCCAGGAACAACCAATCTAATAAATTAGATGGGTATTGTCATCTTATAGCTATTAATCAAGTCAGGACTTATGAAAAATTTGTATTTTTTATTTAAATTGACTAAAATATTAGGCCATAAGTGTAGTATAAATTTTCAAAGAAATCGTAGTGAATATTATAAGTATTGTAAGATGTCATAATATATCTATGAAGATTTTGTCATACTATAAATAACAACATGTTTCCGGGTGCTCTGACGGTTGGTATAGGTACCAGGGCGCGACATGACAATAAGAACATAGTAAGACTGTTAATCTGGAGACTAATTTTATAGGATTAACCACGATGATTTTTATCTAAAAACCGTAGTAGTTAATTCAAACTTATGGACAATATTTATTTTATTGCAATATAGTAGATAATGTATCATTGTGATCTGAGGCAGATGAATTGACATCTCATTCCGTAAAAGTTATTTGCCTGCTTGGAACCAGAATTATTAAAATCTATTCAGTTCGGTTTTTTATGTCAGTTCAAATAAATAATATGACTACTTATATTATATTCCACACTGATTTTCACTGAAAGCAAAAAGGATAAATAGTAGAAAGTTCCTATTGTTTTATTCTTTTTTTCATTTTATTTGTTTCACTTACATTATTAAAATATTGACTTCAGCTGCAAAGTTGTTTTATTCGATGATGATGTGTGACTCTTATAGGTCCTTAGTCTACGGTATCCGTTTACCATCAGATAGGATGTATGCTTGTTTGCCACCTATGTGGTATAAAATAAAAATTAATCAATTTTATATTTAGATTTTGTACAAAGTCGCGTGTGTACCGGGTTGGTAACAGTCACCTATTTCTTCCGTCCGGTGACTTTCTTTGTTGTCTGTCTGTTTTGGTATCTATTTCGGTAGATAGTTGAGATATGGAAACTAAATTAGGAGGAACAAAAACACAGTATATTACTAAAAATAACATTCAAAGTAGCGACGAATGCGAAAATATTTGTATGGCTGATTATCATAATCATCCATACAAATATTCTCGCACCTAATGCACCCGCCTATACCGACATCGGTATACGCTGGCGAGGCTTCTGTAGAGGATGACAAGATGAATACGAACTCGGGTCACTTTGCCCCTCGTGGGAAATTCACTTGGAATTAAAGAATTAGGTGTACCTATCACATAGTGTACTACACGCTGACGCGAAGTTTTGACCTTACCACCAGGTGGGTTGTCAATTTGTTTGCCATTCTAGTCTTATAAAAAAAGATAGATTATAGAGAATAATTAGTGAAAGTATGAAGTCACTCTTGCATATATACAAAAGAGAATCTAAATATGTTTTATAAGGCAATTATATCAATAAATTAAAAGCATAAAATATACAGTTATATTACATATCACAATTTATTTCTTTGAAATTGAAATTATTTGAAAATACAAATATTGTTGTTGTTTCATAACAACAGCATTTATTTTGAGCTTTTCTTCTTTTCATGCTGTTTGGCTGCTTTCTTTTTCATAATTTGCAAGCGTTTATCAGCAGATATAATGTTAATACTGGGTGTGACAACTTTAGAAGGTGAAGACGATGATGAACTTGAAGAAGATATTTTTACTGGTGTAGTAGAACCAGATATTCTTGTTGGTGACTTAGAGGTTGATGTTGTTTTAGTTGGAAATCCAACTGCAAAACTTTGAGATGTTAAACATGAAGCACACTGCCATCCAACACTCATATCATTATCACTAATAACAGGTTTGTGACAATCCTGTGGACAAATAATACTTTATATTAATTGTTTTTATTTCAATGTTTTAAAAAGACACTTGAATTTTGTTCGTGTAGTGCTACAGTTTGTGCTGCAGACGGTATATCATTATTTGCTGAACAATTCCCAATATTATATAAATAGAAAGAATAGAATGAACCAAGCAGGACAACATCTAGCAGATCTGCTAGTATATGTAATCAAATATAATTAAAAATAGTCTCCAACCAGCATAGTTTACATGTACATGTGTAAAATACAATAGGCATAAAAATGGCATTATTTACTAAGGTTAAAGAGAGAAGTCTTATTTTACTATCATAACATACTTTGAAATATAACATTTACGAAAAGCCTATATTGTAAAGACACTCACAGATGCAATAATGTAGTAGATAATAATCATAAGTACCTGGTGATATAAAGAATGGCAAGCATCACACTCCACTAAACGATTTCCAGCCTGTACAGCTATTTGTCTACACACCACACAAGTTAAATCCTCCTCCAACAAATCAAAGGCCAACTCGCCATCCATTACTGTCCCATCATCATTCTCCCGCTCAGGTATTTGTATCTGTTGTGGACTTTGTTGTGGGATTGGTATAGTTTTACTACTGGTACTCTTATCACTCTTATGCTTTGACCTAGTGGATTCCATTTTCTCTTCAGCCAGGTATTTTTTAGGCAGCACATTGCCGAGAGTTTTAGCGCTACCATATGTTTGACGAATACAGTCATCTAGAGTTAACCTTAACTGTTCCGTAGAATCTGGAGAACTTGAATGCAAGTACTTAAGGCAGAGCTTAATTGCAGGATCAAAATCAATTGAAGACATTTCAGATATATACACGATGCACTTACGTGATGAAAGTCATTAATTTATTTTCTGATAGATATTTTTTCTTAATTAAATGTTTCGAAAGCAACAAGTTTATTAAGTTGTAGTAGTTTTCAGATTACGCTTCAATAAAAGAAAAAAAAACTTGGATTTGTATATAACAATTAAGATAAAATTAGGATGAAAACACATATATATGTAGCAAAAAATATAAAAAATAAATTAAATTAATAAGACAATCAATGAACAAATATCAATAATAATTCAGAGAAGTTTGTAGGTAGAGAAGAGAACTACGACAACCAATCCCGGTACTATGACAAAGACAGACAGACAGAACAGAGTAAGTATGGTTACCACAGATCAATATTAAGTACCAATGTTTCCAACTTGAAGTAAATTTTACGGCGTTTCTAGTATAAAATTACGGTTTTGAACATAGGAATATAAAATCATTTCTCAGTTTTAGAGAAGTTAAAAAAAAACAAAAAGCAAATTACTACGCTTTAAAAAAATAATTGGAGAGGGAACTATTATTTAATTATCCATATTGCATACTTATCGCCATATAGATTAACCTGCATAGTTCCACCATCTTTTTTACTAGTTGTTGAACACGACTTTTAATATCATTAAAAATCCTTATCGGTTTTTATTTTACGTAGAGACTGTGTAAATTAATAGTATATATTAAGTATTTATTTCACTAGACATATTATTACAACGGCCTAGGTACATCCTTTAAAATTTTTTAATGTCATTGCCATGTATTGCAATTGAAACTGTGATTCGGTGGTCTAGCGATTTAGCACAACGTTTTACATGGTCGCGGGTTTGATATGTAAATAGTGCTTTGCGGCGTCTCTTGTACTGGTTTACAACTAACAATCTTATGTTAAACGCTAATAAAACCAAATGTGTTCATTTTTCTGTCTAATAGTTTTAATACTAAATGCAACATAAAAGTAAATGAGGAATCTCTTGAATTTATAGAATTTACTGTCTTTCTAGGATTCACACTAGATAATAAAACACAATGGGGTGCACAAATTCAAAGCCTTGCAGCGAAACTGAGTTCAGCACCTTTTGCCGTGCGTAAGGTTAGACAGTACACTGATACTGATACTGCTAGATTAGTCTATTTTCATAGTTTACTCTCTTATGGAATATTATTATGGGGAAAAGCGGCAGATATTAAAAATATATACAAATTACAAAAACGTGCCATTGAAGCGATCTACTGTATGAAGAGTCGTGACTCATTAAGATAGAAATGCAAAGAGGCAAATATTCTCACCGTTGCTTCTCAATTTATAAATTCAAATATCCTATATGTTCACAAAAATCTTGACTTATTTCCAAAAAATAGCAATGTTCATAATATTAATTCTAGATTTAAAGACAAACTTGCTGTCCCCCAGTATTGTATAGAAAAGTTAATAGGTCTTTTATGGGAATAGGTATAAAAATTTACAATAAGATACCTAACACCTGTTAAATCATCATTTATTGAGCAAAGCCTATTACACGCTAAACGATTACTTGAATGACGAGTGTGCATGTGTGTGGGCAACAGTTGTTCATGCACTGGATTTTCATTTAGTGTTAGACATAGACACCTCTATAAATATACATTGTAAATAAACTGACTTTTAAAAAAAAAGGTAGTTCAAATGAGTTCCTTGCCAGTTCTTATCAATTGGATCTATATACCGAACTGGACGGTAGGGAAACAATTAAAATTTGAATGTAAAATTTTATGTTCATAAGCGGCTGAAATGTCCTACATGAATAAATGATTTTTGAATTTCAATTTGATTTATCGCATGGTACAAACATTTGTATTCATGAGTACATATGTAAAAACTACTTTATAACTAATGAATGAGTGGTATAATAAAAAATATGACTAATAAAAAGTGCTTAGGTATATTTCTTTAAGAAAGATTATTTCTATGATGGAATCGGGCAATGGACACTATATTTATTGGTCATTACATCACATTAAAAGTCATTAGTATGGATATTAAGATTGAAATAAATAAAAATCCAGTCTTATTTAATTTCTTTTAATTCTGTAGTCACAAATCGATTTGGAAATACAATAATTCAAAAACCTCAGTTCAAAATTCTAAGCAATAAGTATTTTAAAACATGAACCAGCTGTGATTACAAGCAATTTCTATTTGAAATTTAATTTCGTAATACGTTTTGGGTATTTGCACTCTTATTGATCAACAAAAAGGCAATAAGCAGGCACGTTAGCACAACGCCGTGATAAAACATTTTTTTATATATGACTAGAACTATTGTAGATACAGTTAGCTTCATAAAGATTCGTGATAGGAGTGAAATTTGAAATGTATCTTAGCATTTAAAGATAATCACTTAAGACCAAACAAGCTTTCATTCTAGTGCTTTGAAATACTTAAAATTTTTTGCAGAGATATCAATGATTCTAAAGTTGAATGTTTTCTGTTTGTATTTGTAACAAGAATTCCTCCTGGTATCTATCACGTCTTACATTTTTGAAGACTAAGATGCCTGGCTATTATGTGGTAGGTAATGAAAATGCAATTTAATTTCTTTACCATGTCACCATACCTTTGAAACTGATATAAAGCCTATATTGCAAGATATTAGTGTCACCTTTTGTTTGTGTTTATATAAGAAACTATTTTTGCATACACAGGTTGCAAACCTCTGTATGCAAAAATAGTTTCATTCTTTACGCTACGGTCTATATGAAGCAGACTGTAAATGCCCTTGCTTATTATTAGCCCTGCCAAGGGAAGCTGTATTAATCCTATTTTCACAATTAATTTAGATAGGACTGCATGCATGACATATTATCATAATCTAATCAACCTACACAGGCGTGAATTAATACAAGATTAGACATTACTAGCCAGTGCCTGCGGCTTCGCCCATTGATTTCAGTTATGCTCTTTGGTACGTTACACAAATAAAGAACTCATGTGCAAAATTATTTATAGAGATCTATATGAACTTCTCTACTGTTTAGCAATTACCCATAGTATATTTCTGTACAATGCAGTCCAGAAATATACTATGGGGGTAATTGCGAATTTATATTTTCTGATTTCTACACACCGTTGCGTTCTAAACAGCAGTCAAGGAATGTGGGGAATATAATAAAAATGGTATAACTGCGCGATTTTCACCACGACCTTAATGAACACGAAGTAAATTCGCAAAGCGGATTGACTCTAAAGCACATTATTCAATAAACAATTTTACACAAGAGTTCAGTAAAGTGAGGCGTAAAATAACCTTTACGAAAAATATATGAACCGTTTCATAGTAACTAATTATTACAATTGAGCATCGAGATCCTTCCAAACAGAATGACGTCGCAACCTATCAACTTTTGCAGTATTTAATTATTATAGTAAAAATTAAAAAACTTCCGCCATGATTTTTCAAAAATGGTGAAACACTGGTTCAAATTTATAATAATACGTTAATAAGTTAAAATTAACGACATTTTGTATAAAGAAATCTTAGCCCTGTAGGGGATCAATAAAATAATTATATCTAATATGTTTTCTATACAAAGGCAAATTTCTATTTCTACTGCGCCCGTTTGGATTATATAACTTCTGCAGTTTCGTGTCTATGATATATTAATGAAAACGACAATTTTTGAACGACGCTATTGTCTCTGTTTTAAACAGAAATGATAGGGTCGTGAAACAGATGTAGTATGTACCAGTAGTTAAAGTGTAGCTATAGTAGATCTAGAAAACTCTGCTTTAAACATTTATGAGAAATATTGCAGTATCACAGAATGCGCTGTAGTTACTGTTAACAATATATATCCAGAACAGATTTCTCTTAGTACACTGTCTGAAGTCTACTGTATACAAGAATCGTTATATATGTGGTCATAAATAATGTATAATCATAAGGTATTCATTCATTTTGGAAGGACCTCTTATAAGATTTTTCATCTATTTTCTGGACATGACTTGTATAGTACCTTATTCAATAAATTATGGACAAAACAATACATTTGTTATTTTACCCGCGCAATTTTGGTATTATTAACATTACTTAACAATAGCAAAATTTTAATATTGTATAACTTTAACGTTTCTATTATTAGTTATCATGGTAACTACAACATTCGACCGCTATGATGAAATCTAGTATCTACTATATTATTGCCATGTAATATAATGGGCACCATATCAAAGGATAATTAATTATTAGAAAGACACGCCATTTCAACATGTTAAAGAGCAAGAGATAATTTGAATATTTTATAAACAGTTTTGACAATTGAAGTGATCAAGGCCCCCTAATATGTGATACATTATATATAACTGTTATATAATTAGTGCGATTATAATAAAGTTCATTCTTATTTAAAAAGATATAATTAGGAAATAATTTAAATTTATTAAAATATGATGATCCTTCAGTAGGTACAATACAACAGTATTACGAATTTTCATAGTAATAATCACTTGGAAAATTCGCAACGCTACCCTGTACCCTTGCTCAAAGAGTTTCGTGTATGCCGTTACAGTTCTTATTGTAGGAAATTGCCACAGGATTGTACATGTATGTAATAATTGAAATAAACCTTAGTTTCAAAGTCATTGGATTGTATAAAAAATATCATATATAATTTATTGCAAATTTAATAACAAAAAAAAAAATACAACTACTATGTTGCTGGGCCAACTAAAGTTGTGGTAATACTCCCAAATATGTTAACAAACAAACTGATTCCATACAATTTGGTCGTGATTTAAATTAAAGTAATATCAGTGGGCCTTGAGTTTACTGGCTTTAAAGAAATCACTACATCCCTCTTGTGACATGGTATATTATGCTTAAACATATCAATAATATGAACTTGTGTGGTAACTCACACTACATAGCTGCATGATTTACAGATAGAAACAGATTTTTGTGAGATATTAAATTATTAATAATACATAAAAAATAAATTATATCGCGCATTTGTAAACATAATTTTATAATGTCTTGTTGCCTTTATATTTAGTGTTGTAGTCAAATATAATACAAATAATCTGTTGTTATTCGTGAAAGCCTGTCAGTGGCTTAGTGTATTTTTATATCAATTCAACATGTACATAGTTAAGCCTTGGTCTTCCTTTAATCAATAAATATTATTTTATTTATAGTTGCTTTTATTCTGTTAATGACATATCTAGTTCAGAGGACTGTAGTAGTTTTTCTAAAAAGCCTGTACAAATACACAGTTAGTAAATAATCAATTATATATAGTTTCGAATAGATATAGACTAAAATAATATAGGTTAGAAAAGTATAACAACAGGCACAAAACAAAATATAACCACAGTAAATTTACATCAATTAACATCAAACAACTTTGGTCCAGCTATAACAGTTCAGTGTTTAACAATTTTTATTATAATTACAAATTCAGCTAACAAGCAAATAAGTTAATATAATACACTACAAAATAAAGTTTCTCTAATATTCAATAACTGGAAATTAAATACGCCAAAATAGATATGACCAAATAAAAATAAGGCCATTTTATTCGTTTAAACATTCTCAGTCTACCATGTCCTTTACGATATTGTGTAGACATATTACATATAACGAAAACAATATTGTTGATATTCGTAATAAATGTCTCAAACTATTTCTTATAATATGAACTAAGTGGCGCCATAACTCGAATTATTAACATTACCTCACTATGAGATACATGACGTAATAATGTTATATAGACTAGATAAGAGTTTATATTATAATTATATGGACAAATCTAATTGGATATGTCGTGAATGATATTATTTAAATAAAGTGCATTTTAACTAGCGACCACTACTTTATAATAATGACTACATTAATTTACAATATTTACGATGTCACTCGTATAATATATACGTGTTTGAAAATCACAACAAAAATGTATAACGTCATCGCGAGATATATTATAGTTCGATTTAAAAGTACCTACAATCGATTGAAATATGAGTTTGTATAATAATATACATTTTAATGAATTAAGCCCTGTCCGAGTCAAAACATCACCATGATTATCATTTGCATATCGAGATCCTAAATATATTGAAAGCAAAGGTTAAAATTATAATTAATCTGTTTCTTTTGGGTACCAAAATCCCTTACTACGGATTTTGGAAATCGGTATGTTTGTTGGTGTTAGGAATTCAGAAACGAAGTCTTTCACAAAAAAAAAATAGAATTTATCTAATCAATTTCTTTGCAAGCGGACCCGTAACTTTAAAGTAGGCAGGTACTGCACTACTTATAATGACATTAATTCCTATCGTCGATTTCCTATAGATTATATTAACATAATTGAAATCTCTTAACAGTGTTTTTTCGTTGATTTGTCCGACTCGCGCTTGACCGGTTTTTTTACATTGAGATAGCCATTGACATGTCTAATTTCAGCTACCATAATAATTCAAAGGCTACAATTTGGCACAATTAATATTTCCCACCATGACGTCATTTCTAACAAAAATGTAGATTACAAAATAACATTAATAACTTTGAGAAATTCAATAATTTATAAATACATGTAAAATATTACATATTTTTAATTATTAAATTTATCAATCTAGTAATAAATGAACTTGTATAATTGTTGATTTATTAATACCACAAAATTGATTAACACTTAGTCACCGAATGACTTTATTTCGTTGTATTTTCACACTAACAATTATATGGAATTGCCTCACCTCTATTACATTGTCAGTCATTATTTATTACGTAACTAGTGTAAATAACTTAGATTTTAATATATATAGCTAAATATGCAATTTGATGATTTCAAGCTCCATTGTAATGGAAATTAAAGTTATTTAAAAGGCATAATAATATTAGGTACTACAGTTTCGTTAATTTAAATGCATTAAAATACTTATCCTATATCGGTGCTTTAATTTACGAGATGCATTTAATGACTAGATCAAAATGATTGTATTGGATTTACATTTGCAGGTAACTCACACAACTAATTAGTACCATATTACATAACAAGACATTTTTCTCTCCCACTGGCTGACGCTTCACCACCATCCTTCACCACTTTGTCTTTCTTTTTCTTACCTTTGCCATCTACTTGAAGAGAGACATTTCTGTTTTTCTCCATATTTAAAAGTTCCTGGAAATAAAATTGTGTCATGAATATTACAGAATAAATAGTTGCCTACTTACATTACATTTTGATAATTTATGTTCTTTTTTTGTTTATGAAATAGCCCTTATAAAATAGAAAATATTTAATATTAAATTCTAATAATGACGTTAAATTTAGAAAATGAATTTTAATTACACTATTTAAAAAAAAAAAAAAAGAAGTAATGAATCAATCTAAAGAAACAATTGCAAATAACAAATGAATTGCATATATACCTGGAATAATTGTGTAACATTGTGGTTTGTTTTCGCTGATGTTTCCATAAATGATACCCCCCATGCCTGTGCTTGTCCCTGGCCCTCTGTCGCAGATACCTCTCTGATTTCGGGACTTTCATCACATTTGTTACCTGCTAACATTACTGGTATATTTGGCAAATCTGCACCTTTTATTTCCTTTATCGTCTGCCATATGGGTTTTAACTCTTCTAAAGACTGTCTACTACTGACAGAATATACCAATATAAAAGCATGGCCCTATAAAGTACAATACATTACTAAAATTATTATCTAATATGGTATCTGTAAACTTAAAAAATCTTATATGATATATACAACAGTTAAATATAACAAATTTAACAAAGGATAAACAAAACACCAGAATGTGATTTTTTGTGTACAGTCTGTACACACAGTAGAATAAAAATAAATTCTACAACTATCTGTGCATAACTGTGCTCTGGCCTTTGCAAATATGTTGTATATACATATATATATATTACATTATATTATATTATTTAATATGGGTACCAATTTTGTATAAATTAATAAATACCTTGCTTATTGACAGTCTTTGCATTGCTGGAAATTGATGAGATCCTGTTGTGTCGGTAATTTGTAGTGTACATATTGTTTTGTTGCTACTTATTACCTATAAAGAGAAAAATTAATCTCAAATAAGAAACTGTAAAAAAATCTCCTTGCTATTTTTGTTACAAAAAACCATCCTTAGTTGTAATTTAATATCAGAATACAATAAAAAAATAAATATATTCTACTATAAAATTAATGTCATCCCCTCTTTATAATCAATTAAATTGAGAGTATATCAAAGCTTGTAAGGGTATGAACAATTAAATTAGGATGATGAAAAATACAGCACCAAAGAATTAATTTTGTAAAAATTTCAATTCTAAATGTTACCTGCCATTGTAATTGCAATTAATGAAATAACCTCATAGTAGATGATGTCATAGACATGCTTTATTTATACTTGTACTTTGATTATCATCAATTAATGAAGCTGTACATTTGTAAAGAAATTAAATTATACACAGAAAAATCCAGATTAATGTGTTTAGTCCATATTTAAGATAAAGAAAATTGGAAGTTGTGTATCATTAGGATATTTTATTTGTAGAAACATAAGGTTCATTTTGGCATTGAGCCAAATGGACATGTGAAGGCTTTTGGCATCCCACCAATAAGTGCAAGGACATTAGTGCCATGTTATATTCTATGTTAATGCATTTTAAATTATTATTTGGGAATAAAATCTTTAGGGATACACTGTATTTTGTAATTATAATTGGATTCTAATGTAACAAAACATATAATTTAAATATATAATACCAACTAATAGAGTATCAAGAGTTAGATTAAAAAGTACTTTTCTGAATGCAAATTGCATGGACATTTGTATTTTTTTAAATAAAATGGTTTATATCGTGAATTTCAGGACAAACAAAACTTTTAACTTTTACTTAAATCCATATATTAAACAAACACCTAATATAATATAGATATAAAATAGGATTGAACTCCATCTTTTCAATACCAACGTTTAAACAATGAGAGGCTCCAAGATTTGTATTGCCTAGGGGCTCCAAGCTTGTTAATGCAGCCTGGTCAATATTCTTACTTGTTAACATATTTATTTAATTGTTATTGCGGCACATAACATTTACAGTACTATTATTAAATCTTTCAGGACAGGATTATTAAAACCTATGAAATGTTGATAACAGTCAACAGAAGTCAAGGAAGTAGGTAGTTTGATAAGTTAGTTTCTTAGCTTGTATCTCACTTATTCTGATTAACTAAATCTAATACCTGACTAGTTAAATAAGGAGTATTTATTTACATATGTAACTTTTAGGTATTTAGGTATCTATCAGTTTTTAAAGAATAACAAAGTAAAAATTGTACTAAAGAATTATACTAAAGAAAGATTACTAAAATTATGAATCAGCGAAATTTTCTTTACTGCCATTCTGAATGTCTCATTTTCTTAATCTATCTATATATCTAATTTTATTTCAATTTGATAAAAGATTAGGTAAGTTACAAATATATCAAAACATACATATAGGTTGTAACTAAACTAGTAACAGGACACTTATTCTTTCATTGCAGAAAAAATTTAAAAAATAATTATAATAATATTAATAATAACCACAACGTTGACAGTTGTTAATCCTATCTTGAATTACAATTGTATTTATGAATATTATAATTTATTATGCGAATGTTTCTTAAGGCGGAGAAAAAGTTTCTAAAAAATAAGCTTACTTGTCTGTATGTATCTTCGATCGTTGGAATGTATGATTCTCTAAAAGTGCCTTTTACGAAACGAAGAACAAGGGAGCTTTTACCCACGCCACCAGCTCCAAAAACTACGACACGATAATCATTACTTTGTTCCGGCATAACGTATTCTTGGACTTGATAAAATCAAATTCACATTTATTCTATAATTAAGTCACTTAACATTTTATAGATAACATTTTGAAGTTAAAATATAATGCTATCATGTTTTAGGCAGATACAAAATCATTTTGATGTATAAAGCAATCCAAACAACAATAAACTGAAAACAAAATGGACTATCACTACAGTTATATCAAGAGAAATAATTAATAAGTTATTTATGAAATTGAAATAAATAGGTATGTAATTGCAAATAGATACTTTGTAAAACGAAAACCAATCATGAATGAAGTCACCAGTGTGACCACATTTAAACTTGATTTATGCTAAAGCGTTGACTAAGGCTAAAGGTTAGACTGAGTGGAACTACTTATTATTTTTATTGATATAATAACAAAATGATGCTTGTTCTAGGAATTAATATACTATTAAATTATTATTGCAATGGAATAACGAAACTGGTACATAAGTTATTTATTTATAAATAATGCTATCGAATAAAATTATTTGCTGAACTATCACATGATGTGATAAATTATTTTTTATCTGTGTTGCAAATAACAGCCATTAAGCCTCTTCCATTCTATAATCTTACAGATCTGTGGTGTATTCTAAAGACGAGCAAAAGCAATACGGTTGAGGAAGGGTGAAAATTACAAATGGCTTCCGTTTTCAATTTTTAAAGTATCATAATTCTCTGTTGGAATGGTTTTCTAAATAAGGTTTGTTGCGTTTATTACATCTGAAACGTATCATAGTACTTACGCACTTCTTAGTTGATTGTTTTTACCCTAGATGCAGCTAATATTTTTTGCATTGGAAATTCATGCCGGTGAATTCCTATAGATTTAAAATTAGTTTAATTTATTTGTAATATCAGAAATATTAAATAGTATTAAATTGTTTAAATAAATAATGATGCCGTACATTACATATTATTTTATAGAATATTCGATCGATAGGTAGGATAATGTTTTTTTTTCTAAATTCCAGACCATCAGACATTGTCGAGACGAACGTGTTCGATTAGATCGAGTCGCTATTTCGCTATCGTGTTTGATTAGTCATGGGCATTCAAGACTTACAAACATTTTTAGAAAAAGAAGGAGTAGGTGTTGATCTTTTTCGAATTGCCAGAAGTCAACCTGGTGGTTTCCGCCTAGTTTTGGATGCTGAAGGCTGCCTAGACCGGCTTTATGGAGGATATTTTTCAGGTACAATTGACACAGGTTTTAAACACTCGGTTATATGCTCACAATAAATTAGAAGCATTATATTGGTTTGTAACCAATATAATTCTACTACACTTCTAGTAACTACTTCATGTCAATTATTACTCAAATTTCCGTTAGTTGTGTCATAAAAATTGTTATTTTATTGTTTTTTTTATTGTGTCGTAAATGTAATTAAAAATTTGGGACAAAAATGGATAAATACAATTTTATTAACTATTTGTCTGTGGTCATTTGGGGATGTAAAGTAGAGTAAAAAATTATTTATGTATTCAATACAAATTATAAGGGTCAAATATATAAATATGTAAAAATGTATTTTATATAAATAATAATAATAAATATCAATCAAATACTGTGGATATATTTTGAAGGTGTTCAAATTCTGTTCATGCTTTGAAGAATATCATCTATACATATATAAAATGATAATATAATCCAATGTCTGTACACTATGTAAAAATATACCAAAAACTGAGTTGAGGTGATGTTAGAAATGAAATACATCCATCCACATTTTTTTTTCTTTTTTCTTTCTCAGTCTGTTTGTCTAAATAAATGTATGAAACTGTTGAACCAATGTTCAATGCAGTTTTGCATGGTACCACCATACCTACCCTACATCCCTGTTCAAAATTTTAGATACTTTTAATTATGGATAATTAAAAAGTTAGAGAAATAAACTCGATACAAGCATGTTTGCATAGTCATATTTTTATTCTACCACTGATTCAGAATGCAGATTCATCACAAGAAGAATGAGCAAAAAACTTGTGTGTTGCTCTTTTGAATAGATGTCTTTTTTAATATATAAAAATATTTACACAATAACAAGAAAGAAATATACAATAATCAACATAAAAACAGCTATACACATATTCTTAGTGCAATCAGAAAATATATTCAGCTCTATGAATTTTAAGTTTTTCTAAAAAAACATTATTGTTAACAAACTCTTTAATTTTATAATATGCTTTTTACAAAGTAAGTGTTTTATATGACATTTAAATCTGTTTTCAGAACAGACTGGTACTTTATTATAAAACCTTACACAATTGCCATAAAACAAATTACTAACTTTAGTTAAACAACATTTAGGTAAAAAATCTATAGTAACTATACAGCTTCGTACACAACCAAATTAAGTAATTTAATAATCTGAGATGAGTGTGCTATGCCACTGCGAAAAACAGTATAGCTAGTTTATAGAACCATTAGAGATATCCATCAAAATTACCAATCTAGATTAATTGAAATATCCAATACAATTATTGATTTTTGTTCACACTGCTTTTGGTCAATACTAGAGAATTTATGATGGAGTTTGTTTATCTTTTTCTAAAGTTCTATGGAACAAAATTGACTATTCCATAAACTGGCATATCTATACCAAATTCATGATGATTGATCACAGAGATAATAAGAATAGATATAAATTCACTTATTAATTAATGTAGATGACAAAATAGTACTTTTCGATGCTTTAATTTGATTTTACTTGAATAAACAACCTTACATTTTTCTATTTTATTGAGTGGGGCATATTCAATATATGTATACCTATTACTATACTAATTTTAAAATATCTGCTAAAGTATATAATTAATACATGCACTGTATTTCACAGATTGGGCGTGTGGAGGCCAATGGGCCCGATGTGTTCAATTTTTGACAACCTTGGCACAGGCTCTTGCTGAGCACCAAGTGTCCCTCTGTGTTTGCTTTAATGGCGCTCATCCAACACCTCCAGCAACTCCTCAACAATGGATCCAAGTTCAAGCAATGTATAGACAAAGAGTCAATTTTGTTAGTATTGATTCTATTCCCTTGTTATAAATGTTTAAATTTATTTTACTTGTATGACAATAATATTATCAGCTGATCCTATGTTCATATAATATCTCGCATTATTGGTTCTGTATATCCTATAATTGATAGATTGATATATTGAGGCATAGTCAGTAATAAACTACTGTATTTTGTACATCTTGTATCTGTGATAACCCATGAATTATATAATTTCATAATTTCAAAATTATTTTTACATATTTTATTTCAGTTATATTAAGTTTTATTTTTATTGTTTATAGGTGCTTCGTCATATTGCAACTAAGGGAACGCCTCCACCTAAGGTTTGGTGGGTCCCACCAACAGGTCTACACTCCTGTCTAAGAACTGCCTTGCGTTACCTCAATATTCCTATTGTAAGTAGTGGTCTAATGGAGCTTTGAACATCTCTTGAAAAAGATTTGTATCATTACTAAATACACATTGTATATATTAAATTATAATCAATGGCAATAGGTACTAAATTTATATATTTTTTATATAGATGGTATCTTCAGATGATCATTGTCAAGAAGTCGTTGGTTTATGCCGTGAGAAAACTTATGCTGGCCTTATAGGGTGTTCCGGGGAATATTTAGTATTTCAACCTCCAAGATATTTTAGCTCATCACTGTTGAAACTTACATACAGGGTAAATTAGTTTTATAATACTCTTCTTTTTCTAATTTAGTCAAAACATCACCAAAAGCAAATACAGAGTACTCTAAATAATTTCAATTTCAAGTAAATAAAAGTATTAGGTACATCATTTTGTAAGAACTACATTAACTAAATTATATTTTTTAAACAAGTGATTTTTCTTCATTTATGGTCAATTAGCTGAATTAATAAATAGTGTATTAATTAAATCGTCTGGTAATTGACAATAAAATGCTAAATATTTATTGCAGATCCTTCTCAGTTTCTAGGGAGTAATATAAGTAAAGTTTAAAAATATTATTACATATATTATTGACATAATATTCTTGTTTATTCAGTCATCCCTAGAAACAAAAGAGTACATGGTGCATGACTTGCCACAAGTGCTGGATGTACCACAAGATCGTCTCTGTCTCATGGCGGCTCTTCTAGGCGGCACAATACTTTCCGAACACAGTCTCACAGATTTCTACAAACGCTTGGGAATACAAAAAAAGGTATATAAGTGTATCTTATTTTACTAATTAATTATTTTCTACTAATGTACCAGACTTAAATCCGGTCTTTTTTCAAAATAGCCTGGAAATGAGCAATTAACCACAACGGATAATACCGATGTATGTATACATATCTATGTTACTAACGATTTAATAGTATTTTTCAAATTAATTTTTATTACATTTATATTGTTTATTGTAGCAACAAGTGTCTCCTGAGACATTAGTCAAGAGTGTGTGTCAATTTGTGTGCCAACTGCCTTCATCAGATATTGATACTGCTTGTATTGAGATCTTCGGTGATCTCAATGATCTTCGTGCTGCCAAACTTAAACAAGCAGTACAATATTACTTAAATGGAACTAAAGATGGCTTTTTGAAATACAGAACTGCATCTGGTAAGAACAATATATTTCCTGTTAGAAATTTGTTTTATTTACTGAATATTAAATTGATTACTGTATTTAGAAGACATTTCTAGTATATTGAATGTCATTAATTTCTTAGAAATTTTTAAAATTCCAGGTCGCCGCCCTAAGACAACCAAAAAGAATAAACCAGAAATTAGTCCACAATCAACATCTATGGACTTGGATACTTCTAAGCTGGCGACTGAATCAACTGAACATGAGGTTTTTGCATTTCATGATAATATAATTTTAATATCATTGTACTAGTCATCCACGCCTTTTAAACCCTCATTATCATAATTGGCACCAATTGGCAGACAAAGAAATATCATCTTGCATGATGTAAAAAAAACACAAATTTTTTCACAAGTGCGGAGTGTATTTTATGAGTTTTACTTGTTCATTTGGTTATATTGGTTTTAATAATTCACAATTTAATTATTTCACTATTTTCTTTTTATACTTTATTGTTTTTATTTTATTTTATATCACGAAGCACTCGAGATTGTAGAAACTCTTCAAACTCAATAAATTACAGCAAAAAGGCTTGGAAGATTACAAATTGGCAACAGCAAATGCGTCAATAAATGCGGACTTTAGCATCGAAGACCAGAATGTCGACGTGAATCATGGTTTAGCGGCGCTTTCTTTGGACGGCGGCGACGCGAACACTGCGACCACCCAGCAGCCGGAGAAACAAGCTAATAAAACTGAAAAACAACCTGCTATGAAAGAGGTGTGAATGTAACTGAATTTAGTCATTACCGTCATTAATCATTTAGATTTACTTTTAGAAACCAAAAATAACCTTTATATTTAGTTTTTTTTTACTGTTAGGCTGCCCCAACCTGTATTCAAAATTATATCAGTATTTTGTTGGACTATGTGACAACTATGGAAAATAAATTTGTAAAAAACTATCTTCACGCACCAGGCAATTTTTTTTATAAAATGCATGTTTTGGTAAAATTTTTCGGATCTTACTGTTTTATTATATTAAGCATTTTTTTTTAATATTTTCTGGTTTACACTATTGACAATTGCAATCTAACTATGTCAACTGAACTTGTTTGTCATTGTGACTGATAATTTCTGATGTAGGGTTACATCTATACTGTCAAGGAAAATGAAGACGAGTCAAAATTTCTGAAAAAATAATTTTTGCACCAATTTTATACCCATAATCTCGTAAGTTAGACAAGCCACTTAATAAAAAATAGAAATTCATTTTTCCTGTATTTTTATATTTTTAATGTATAAAAAGAAAAGTTATAAAAAGAATCCCAAAATTCATCTTAGTTGAGGACCGTCGCACCTACTTGAAAATATTATATGTATTCATATTTTTTTATAAATTAACCACCAGTTGTTTTTTCGCACAATGGGACTGCTAGTACCCATTAGTAACAATCCCCCCTATCTCTATCTATATTATTCAATCTACGTCGGTGAAATGGGCTGCTAATTGTGCTTAACTAGTTTAGGTGTAGGGGTGGGGATCGACAAAGTGTGGAATTGTATGACAAGGAGTTAAGTTGGTTGAAAATTAAGAACCCCTTGCATCTTTCTAAGAGGGGTAAATTTTGTGACATCAAATTACAATGTTAGTAAAAAAAATGTTGTTTGACATGTATACTATAAATTGGTGTGACATAATTTATGGATATGTGATGTAGACATTGTTACAGGCCTTGAATTACTGAGCCAAGTGATTATAACATTTCTAATATATTAGAAGTTTAAAAAGTACCAATACTAATTTCAGAACCGACCGACTGTGAATAAACAAATTCAAAACGACGACAACTGTCCTTCAGCTCCAGCCGAAGTGTTGCGAACATGTGCAGAAAGACATGCACGCGGCCTTATGCATCCGAGCATGCTTTCAATTCTCACGCACCGCCATATCACTCTCAATGTTGTATTGGAAGACGACAACCACCGTGAAATACCATCTATTCATCATTTCTACAGACCAATAAGGCAAAATGTGTATGCTATTCTATACAACATGCATCATCATCGCTTTATGGCCCAAAGGGCTAAAGGTAATAATGTATGATAAAAGTATTACACTTACAAAATATCGTCGTATCAGCATTGTACAATAGTTGACACTGATTCCTGAACTATGTATGTTGTAAATTAGCCAAATCTTACCACTGCAATTTTCTGCTATGATTTATTTTATAAATGTGAAAGTGTGTCTTGTCTGTATGTTTATTTATCACTATTTCACAACTAGAGTTATAAATAAAATAAATTGCTTCACAAAAACAGATATAGGATACTTTTATCTTAAAAGGCAGGCAAATGCGCGGGTAACAGCATAGGCATTACATCTTACTCGATAGGAATGGCAATGCATGAAATCGATCTTAGACGTAGCCGTCTTTTCACATTGGTGCTATTCATATTTATGAGCGTTGGTTATCACGTATTTTTTGGTCAGATAAACTTAATACTGAAAAAATATTATTTGTATTATAAAGGTGTCGTGTGTAAATCCACTAACAATCTTTATCTGCCTACTATTTCAGAGGAGGGCACAACCAGTACTTCTACTACCGTCGACCGTGTCTGTACCGTACAAGTGGCTGAATGGATTTATTCCCGAGTGAATCCTGGCAAGAGCCCTGAGATGGTGCCTGGAGTTGTCCTTGATTGGCCAGTACCCACGGTTCAGCGGCTTTGGTTCGGGTGAGCTTTATAACATTCAGACTTAAGTGTTAATTCCCCAAAATACTTTTTAATCGTAATGAAATTAGTAAATAATCCCCTTTTAGATTATTATTTTTTATATTGTGTTGGTAAACAAACTAATGGCCCATCTAATTAAGGCCATTTGAAAGTCAGTATTTTTACGTGTTACCCGCGACCTTGTCTGCACAAACTTCCAAGTCTTATTTCACTTCCTTCCAGATATCTATGTTCATCCTCATGATAATCTATCTTCAAATTATGTTAATATCCATTCAATGTTTCAATTTTTGAAATACAACAAACAGCTGTTTACACACACACACACACACACACATATATATATATTTATTAGATTATTCTAAAACTTTATATCAAATACTATAAACTCTCTATCTACTCTCAATCTAAACTCTCGGCAAGAATTAGGAAAATCGTTTACATCATGAGAGGACTTCGACATTCTGCCCCAAATAAGGTACTGTTATTAGTTTACAAGGCACTCTGCCAGTCACAACTTACCTATTGTATTAGAGTCTGGGGTGGGGCTGGGAAAACTTCTATGATAGTTCCATCATAGAAGTTTTCCCAGTCCCACCCCAGAAAGGGCTCAACGAGCAGTACTGAAAACAATGTTACGAAAACCATTCCGATACACCACAGATTTTTTATACAAGGAATGTAAAGTCCTACGTGTACGACAATTGTTCATTCGGAAAGCTGTAATAAGTATGCACAGTTATGCCCTCAGATCCACTTCTTTAATAATTGTTCGTAGTTGAACAATTATTAAAGAAATGGTTATATAAGCTCCCTATCCCATTTGTACATACAAAATTTGCCAAGCGTCACCCTACTTCCCTTCTTCCACAAATATATAATACTGCCTGTCGTTTTATAGATATAAGAGAACTAACTTTAAGGCAGGCTAAGGAAACTGCAGAGATCTGGCTTCTAAAACTTGACTACTCGCAAACGGAGAACATTATTGAGTGACAAAACTAAACATCCCCATTCCCACAAAATAAATAACTCCAAAGACATAAACAAACACATCCAAACGCACACAGACACACACACTTAATTTTTATTTTAATTAATAAATTACCTTATAATCTTAAATTTTATATAGATTCTGTATTAGAACTGACTATCCTAAAACAAACTAAATAAGTAAAACATAGTCTGACCCCTGTGATAAAAGCTATGCTTAGTGTAGAGAGCGTTGTAAATAAATACAACTGACCACTTTGTTTAACTGTCATAGGTTAAGTTAAGTTAAGATCTATATTTGTGAAGTTGTGTCTCATGTGAAGTGTCTTTTCTTGAAATAAATATTATTATTATTATATAAGTTCTAAAATTTGTTTTCTTATATGTAGTTATGTACGTTTGTTATCTTTTAAAGTAGCTTTGTGTCTGCAGTATCAAACTTGTAAATAAACTTTCACTATTTTTTATATTTACTATAGGAGTGATATTGCTGGGTTAAAATAACTATTGACCAGTGCTCCGGAGTTTTCAAGATACTCTACGAAAACAAACAAGTATTTTGAATATACACTAAACATTTTCCAACACTTATTTTACATATATTTAAAAATTAATATAATATGAATATATTTTTAATATAAAATGTGATACCTGACAATCATAACACCACTGATCTGACTTTGGAGCATTGAAGAATTGCATATGGGCACTAATTTCTGAAACATATTTTACAGAACGGCGCAGGATGATAAATGCCGACGTATGCGTGCTTTTCTGTCTTGTATGCGATCCGACACGCCACTGATGTTGAACACTTCTTATGTGCCTCAACATTTGCTAATATTAGCAACTGTAATGAGGTAATTTTATTTTTTATAAAACTAGAAACTATATGACGGTCCACCCAATCGTAGAATGTACTTGTCCGTCACTTATAAATATGAACAACACCACAAACATCATATCATAATATGACGTCCATGGAAAAAAGATATGTGATAAAGGTTGATAGGGACTATATTTATTTTCTATCTAGTATAATTTATTATTATATAGTTTCGTTGGTTTGTTTTCCATAACCTCCCACACGCTATTAAATTGATAAACGAAAAAAAAATCCAAAGAATAAATTATATACTCCTCCACAAGCAACAATGAACAATTACCTATAAATACTATAAATATTTTACTACATTATTATTTTCTTCACTATCTTATTATTACTTATATAATACTTTTTCTAACAGAGGAGTAAGGAGTTTTCATATTATTAATTTATTATAACTTAGTAAATAATAATTGTATAATCTGTCTTTAGGTTCATAATGACATCGCAAATTCAGATTTTGAGGCGACAAGAGTTGGATGCGTTTTTGGCTACAGCTTTTTCCAATGATCTCATGAATGCCCTTCATTTGCAGGAAATGACCGTAAGTCGTTAATTATGGACTAATTGTCGTATAAAAATATAATATTCTAAATGATAGCACCATCAAATTTTCCTCAGAACATCATGCCGTTATCTAAATCATACACTTACATGTTTTTTCATTATTCTTTGGCCCTCTTTAGGTGAAGAAATCCCATTTGTAAGAAACGTAACAAATATGGCTCTTTCATACTTATTTGTCTAAAGTCATAGTATTTAGACTAAAGTCAATTATTAAGCAGGACTTGGCCTCTAGCCACACCATAAATTCCTGCATGAGAGTGCTATCTACTCACCATATATCCGTATCACCTATCATTCCGTGAAGCTATAAAGGCCAGCTGCGGCTAACAGCATTAGAATAGTATGTAAAGAGTGCATATATATGATTACATATAGTTACAAGTAATTTAATTTCTTATATCTTTAATGTTTATAACAAAAAACTATCTTAGGACTAGGTCTAGGACAACCCTAAAAAATAAATAATAATAATTAATTAGTTAAATTTATTGCAATATTAAAAACATGACTGAAACCAATGAATACTGTGCGGCAGGTGAACGGCATAAACTCCCGCGGAGTTCAGCTGGCTGCGTTGGTGATGGCGGGCGCGGAGGCGGCTCTGCTGGCCAACGACGCGTGCGGCGCGCCCGTGCCCTGGCTGGTGGCCGCGCCCTGGCTCTACTGCGACGGGAAGCTGCTGCAGCGCAACCTGCACCGCGCCGCGCACTGCAAGCACCTCGCGCAGCTCTGCGACAACCTCGACATCGTCGTGAAGGTACGCAACTCGCTGCGAGCTGCTGCAGCGATCCTGCTTCTAGAGCAGCTCTGTGACAACCTCGACATCGTCGTCCAGGTACAGCGAACTGTGACCTCTGCAGCGCGACCTGCACTGTGCCGCGCTATTTCGACAAACACCACACCTTAACTAAGTAGTATGTTTGAAAATACTACATACATTTTTTGACGGCCTCGGTGGCCTAGCTGTTAGCACACCACCTTAGTTTCAACGGTCGCGGATTCGATTCCTCGCACGGCACAAACATTTGTATCCATGAGTATGATCATATCGGTATGGGTGCTTTCTATGTATATGTATCAATTGTCTAGTACCCATAACATAACCTCTAGCTAGCTGAACTTGTGTATAGATAGATCTTGGTGCTCGCTGTGTGAATCTTCCTAAGATTATTATTACCTACATAGTCCATTATCGTTAATATGTTACTTAGTAGTACTGCACATATGATGGTCTGTCAAATCAATTAATCGGTGTGTCCAATCCGCTACTACTCCGATAAACTCTCAGACCGGCAGTCTATAAGTACATATACATCAGTATATTAGCGTATATAGCATATTGTGACGCGCGCGTACAGGTGGAGCGCATGCGCAAGGCGATCCTGGAGGGGCTGGAGGTGGAGTTCGCGATGCCGCCGCTGCCGCTGGTGGCGGGCGTGGTGGGCGGCCCGCTGGGCGGGTGGGCGCGCGGCCGCGGCCGGCCCGCGCGGCTCGAGATCGCCGGCGTCGTCGTCGGCCAGTGGGGCGGCGGCAGCTACCCGCCCGCCAGACACGCGCGCTACCCGCAGGTACGGCCAAACTAATAACCCCGAGTAATACACATCCGATCACAACACTGTTCCTTTTGAAGGGCGGTTCAATTTATATTTATTTTATTTACCAAAAATTGCATAAGATTTTGTTAAATATGATTTTGAAAAATATTCACTAGCGATCTGCCCCTTCTTTGGCTGTAGTGCAATTATTTTTATAGATTTTTCACAGTCGATTTCTAATTATTTGTGACTGCATAACGTACTTTTTTGCCATTAAACTTCGCCAGTGCAGAATGACACCAGTGAATGACTAAGATTTTATTCATTTTTCGTTGTCAGATTTAGGAATGCATGAAGAACATGTATACAGTAATTGTAGTGGTTCTTGAGGATTGGGTATAGAACCAATAAAGAGGGGGAAGGGTATTGCTAATAATGTGGACTAATAATCCCATTGTTAGCAATGTACCATATTAGGTTAACCTTCACGCTGTTTCCCCCTGGAGACCATATGATAAATTGCGGTTGAATTTGTCACGATGGGTCAACTGATCTGACCTCATCATGCTCACATTATTATCCTCCACTGGTGCCCCTACAGCGTAGACCGGTAGCGTTAGCGGGTGATACATTCCATAATTATACATTAAAAAAGACTCAATGAAGATTCACACTTAAATTTGAGTAACGATTATCGAGATGCATTAAGGATAAAGTAAGTGTGGATGTGTGAGTACAGGTGAGCTATGTGGGGTACACGCCGCCGCCGCGCAACTCGTACGGCGCGCGCGGCGGATGGCGCGGCGGGCGCGGGGCCCGCGGGGCGCGGGGCGCGGCGCGAGGGCCCCGCGGGCGGCCGGCCGGGCCCGCGCCCCGCGCGCCCCGCCGCCCGCGCCGCGACCCCGCCGACGAGCCCGCCAAGCCCGCCACGCTCACGCTCAACGGGTACGTACTCGCTCACTAATTACGAATTAATGACTGACCATCCCTACCCGCTGGTGAGGTGAAGGTGAGGTCGAGGCTTCGGGTCGAACCCCTTTGCCCCGGCATCGACTCCGGAGCCACGATCACCGGGTGGCTGGATTTAAGCCTCTTAGGATATCTAAAATAACTTATGAAATAGTGCCATACTTGGGGTCATTTTTTCTTATAAGATTTCTTAACTGCTGCCAGCGCGCACGTGACACTATTTCAGGTGACAGAAAGAATAAATCTATCTAATTTTAACAGTAAAACTGTGAGACCAGACGAGATGACCTCACAGGTTGCCGAAGGAAGCCCACAGGAGGACAATGGCGCTGTTGACAATGAAGCAGATGGTAAAATATTAAGTCATATTACATTATTCATTGTTATAGTTTTTTCCCAAATGGAATATATTCGTTGCATTTTGGAGTAGCACTGTACAATAGTGTGTGCCTCGTACCTTCTTTCTGTTTCTGTCTCTTTCACACACACACTATGTAAGTACTATCTGTCAATACCAAGTTGTCTGTAAGAGATTCCTTATAGCGATAAAATGCCATCTGTAAAACAATTTTATTGTTCTTTGTTTAACTGTATGTGTATGCAAAAATGTTGATATGATACCTATTATAGTTACATAATTGTAAAAGCCCCTATGATCTGGTGAGATATATCAAATTCTCGACAAATATATTTTATTAACTATATGTCGAATATTTACAGGTTCACAGGGTCAGAAAATAAAGACTGCAAAAAATTTAAAAAAGAATGTTGGTAAAGGAAAAAAGAAGGCTGCAGGCCCCAACCAAAAAGCGAATGGTGCCCAAACGTTGGAGCTATATGACAATAATAAGGTGACATCTGAATAAGTTTGTACGCTAAATATCAACAACAGCAACAGCAACCACAGGACTCTACGTAAAGCTTTCCTCGACGTTAACTGATTACGCCATGTCTGTTAGAATTTCTCTTTTTATATTTAGTTATAACGTTGCTATATATTTTAGGTGGCGGAGCAAAGCCACAAATCTGATACGGAGCAAATCGGGCAAGGCGACGCGCCTGTTACTAATTTACCCTAAAGGTAACTCGCATTTTTATTTGTAGTTAGTATATAAATTATATACGAAAACTTCATTTAAATTACCAGTAATTTTATTTTATTTGAGGAAAGTTTGTTAAACAACATGATTAATATTACTTAATTTGCTAGTGACTACAGAATAATTCCAATATGCTACGTGATTTGTAATAAAATAAATAGCAACATTTGCAAATATTCACTAGCGTTTATTGAAGTAAATAAACACCAATTTGTAATATATGACACCAGAATACCATTACTTTTGCACGTACTTGGGTTGCATAATAAATTTGTAAACGGAAAAATAACCAATCCAATCAGAGATTAGTTATTATCTGTAAGGTGGGTATTTTCCATCTGACATTAAGTATACGTGCCTGAAGATCTAAAAGACTTCCCAATTTTGAGACTGATTTTATATTACTTTAATTGGCACATTCAGTGTTCAATTAATAATAATATTAAAGACAAACAACTGAGACGAATTTAAATGTCTCCATAATCCCTAATGAGACATAATAAATACCCTTTGGATGTATTGGTATATGCTTAAGAGACAAACTCATAAAATGTTGTCCTGTTATACTTACTAAATCTTATGTATCTATAGCAAATATCAACATTGACAAAGGGATAGGTTCTGTGACTTGAGGTAGTATTGTACTATATCTCTTAGAAACGTAAGAACCCAACAGCACCCTTTTTTGGACAAGTGATAATTAGAAAATATATATTAATAAATTAATGTTGATTGTTAAGTCATGTTTAATTGAAAAGTGAGATGACTTAGTATATAATATGTTTTGTTCTTAGACATATGAGGTACTGAGTCAACATTATTTATTTACACATAGTATATTTACAATTTACCAAATTATTATTTTTTATTTTAAGATTGGTCTGGTTTATGAGGTCTATTAGATTCCTGTTCGAAATATACTATTAAAATAACGAACATTTCAAAGTCATTGTAATATGAAAGCCAATGACGGATAATTCGAATCATTTTTGATCTCATAGATTAAACCAAATGTTTTCAGACTTGTTTTCGGGATTTCTTGATATTATTTAAGCATAGGAGTCGAGTATTTAATACAGACAGTCTGTTATGAGAGTTACTTCAAAAATGAAGTCACGGGGCCTTACACCGAGAGGGACACGAGTAGTCCGATCGTAACAACATTATTTTTAATATTCGTTTTAAAATGAATTGTCTTATCGATTGATTGATAAGTTAACCCATCCGAATATTCGGAGCCAATCTGTGTTTACCCAAATGTAAAGCAATAAATATTATTATAAGTTGGGTAAATACACAATACGATACATCACAATTATTTTTTTTTTCTGTTTACATCATTGGTGTTTTAATACAGGCTTAATTGCTTGTCATAGTGAGCTTATAGCATGTTAGTAATGATTGTAACAATTTGAATCCCGCCCAGTGAGTGTGGTGTATTTATGAATGTGAATTCGAGTCAATAAATGTTAGCATGTAATTGTGGAAGGAATGGTAAAATATGTATAGTAATCTCATTAAATGAATGATTGATGGTGCTTTAAAATCTATAGGACTGCCTGAAACGAGTCTGAAACTCATAGATTTAAGTCTAACGATAGACGTTTAATAAAAGTGAATGAACATTCGCGTATTGATGTTTCTATATCCTATAGGGTATTATTTCGATAGGAAATCTTAGATTTGTTAGTGATATATTTATATGCATTTTTGGAAAGTCATGACCGCGAATGTTCTTCATTTATATGTATTTTTGTAAATTTGTTATATTGTTATACTTAAATTTAGCTGGAATGACTAATGAGAATAATCAAGATAAATCTTGCTCAGATACTCGGTTGATGGTTAAACTGTCACAATTATAAAAATACCAGTTACATTCCATTACGAGCACAAGATCTTTTCTTTTGTAATTGGACAGTTCACGACAGTCGAGAATGGAACTACATAAATGAAGACTTTACAATTTTTGGAACGCTTACCTATACCCAGGCCAGAACATAGATGATCTATGTTGCTACATTAACATATAATTGATTTTAATAATCAAATGTGATCAGAACATGAGCGCATTGCACACATATGTGGCAGCGCAATTCCAGTGACTAATTGCCAAATAAAGTATAAGCATCTGACTTCGTAACACGACCACCCTAGGTGGAAATAGGTGGCGGTTACTGAACAACGGTGCTAGATGACCGCCACCTCATACCAGAGTGCATTCTCATTGCAAGAGAACACTCACATTGCTAAGTATTCGCTAGCTGTCGCTTAGCGCGGCATGCACATTATATTAAACATTTTAACGTATATTATTGCTTGCTTATTAAAATAAACACAATATGTAGTTTAGAGTTTTAACTTCAATGTATTTTGATTTGTTTAAGAATTATGTGTAATAATAAAAAGCATGTTAGAAGGTTCATTGTAATCTTACAAGGAGTTAATGTTTTCCAGTATATCAAGTTATTTTTTAATTACAAGGCACTATTTACATAATTCATTATTGTCTGTAATTTTGGCCTTTGTTTCAAATTGTTCGAAATAATTGTTTGATATTTCACGTTTTAAAATGTTACGTTAGTCGTGATTTAAGGGAGGTTAGAATTTATGTTTTCTTTTGAATCCAATATGCGCTATAGTTTTAGATTATTCAACAGTATACCTTTACTACATTTTATAAACTTGTTTGCTGACAATCGTAATTGTTGTCAACATAATGTAATCCAAATATATTAGAATATTTGTCATGTAACACATAACATTTTTCGTAATTGAAGTAGCAAACATGGAACTGTGGCTTTTTTGAAAACACTTATAACTTGTGTATGTAAACCTGCAAATAAAAATTTTAAAATGTTCATTACTATTTCAGTTTATGAACACAAAAAATATTTGATGAATTTTAAATTGTAAACAGTTGTATTTGTCTTCAAATAAAACGTTCCATCATTATATAAACCCGTTTATTTTATTTGTGGAGTTGTAACCTCTCATGTACTTTTGTTACCGTAGTATCCTCAATATTTGCAATATGATTAATTACAATCTGTGTTGCATCCTTAATATCGTTGTATTGATGCAGAAGCAATAACCTAATTGCTTTATTATCACCATCTAGTACGTGATCAATAGCTTTTTCTGTCTCCAAAAGGTTGTCATACACAGCTTTTAAATTTTTAGGCATCTGAAAAGAAATCAAAATGCTCTTTCAAACTTAATTCATAATTTATTAGTAGGATTCCTAAAATTATCTTAAAAGTAGAATCTTAACAATGGGCTTACAACAGTTTTATTCAAATCTGTAGAGTGATTTTGGTATACACAGCGAAGAGGTGACAAATGTGGTTACATACATGCAAAAATTATACATTATCTACAACTAATTGACGCTTCGTTCTCGATGCTGACGCATTCGTATGAATGAAGTCAAACAAACAATCCTCTTTGTACCTGTATAGAGGTAGGAACAAGCTTTATTCCCAGTATACTATGACCATACCAGAAAAATCCACCTGTTATTAACTTTCATCCTTTTGTTTTCCAAAATTTTATTGTGCATCCGCAACAATAAATTTTCCTGTGTGTTCATTATGTTTAAATATGTGTTTAATGGTATTCGAACAAGATACTCATAATGTAGAAGAAATGTGGAATTTCAGCAGACTGAAAATCTACATTTCAGGCGCATTACTTCGTATATTTGACATAGAATTAAAATTGCCATTATTAAAATTACTTCTGTCTGTCACATTTTGTTGGCTTATCTATTTGAACAGCGTTTTTTAGTATACTAATAAGCCACGCCAATCATTGTGGTCATCAATAAGTGTCGCTAAGGAATTTTTACGGTAATAGGTGTTGTCTCTTAAGCATTTGATGGTAAGTCTATGTTAGATACAATTATAGTTGAAGGCAGGCTGGTGTATAAACTGCTTATGTCGCTTTTATAAAGTTGCGTACCGAGCGTCATAACATGATGTTGCCTAGCGACAATGACGCCCCTTATTCAAATATACAAAGTTAGTCAACGGGTATATCAAACCGAAATGCTGAGATAAATTAATCAGGAAACTAATCGAGATTCACTGAGAAACAAAGTAAAAAATCAGAAATAAAGTTGTCTAAAATAAACTTGTTATAATATATTGATCTAATATCTATGTTTATATATGAAGGTTTAAAAATATTAGGTGTACAACTTTGCTTCCGCCGTTTTGAAATAGATGGCTGTAGCGGTAAATGGTAGTCGAAATAAATAGATCGTAGATGTCATACAATAAGCTTAGGTATTCAAATTCAAAAATCATTTATTCATGTAGGACATTTTAGCCGCTTATGAACGTCAAATTTTAATGTATTTGTAAACATAACGCCATCGAAATATTAGTCGATTTGCGTCTGCATCACAAAATTATTCTCTACAAAACATGTCAGCTTACCAGCCAAATTCTCGTCATTTGCGGGAGGTTTTAATTTTTTGCTTTAATATGCTCTCAAATGCCTATAATGAGGCAGCTATTAGTGAAAGAACGTGCCGAGAGTGGTTTCAATGCTTCAAGAACGATGATTTTGACGTCGAAGACCAGCATGGCGGTGGAAGAGAGAAGGTTTTCGAAGTTGCAGAATTGGAGGCATTACTTGATCAAGACTCGTGTCAAACGCAAAAAGAAGTGGCAGGATCATTGGAAGTGATCAACAAGCCATTTTAAAACGCCTGAAAGTCATGGGAATGAGTCAAAAACAAAGATATTGGGTGCCGTACGAATTGAAGCCGAGAGATGTTGAACGGCGTTTGTTTGCATGTGAACAGCTGCTTGCAAGGCAAAGACGGAAGGGATTTCTGCATCGCATTGTGACTGGGGACGAAAAATGGGTTCATTACGATAATCCCAAGCACAGAAAATCATGGGGATATCCCGGCCATGCTTCCAGGTCGACGGCCAAACCGAATATTTACGGTTCCAAGGCTATGCTCAGTATTTGATGGGATCAGCTCGGCGTAGTGCATTATGAGTTGTTAGAACCGACTACAACGATCACAGGCGATAGTTATCGAATGCAATTAATGCGTTTTAGCCGAGCATTGAAGACAAACGGCCGCAATACAACCAGAGACATGATAAAGTGATTTTACAACCTGACAATACTCGACCCCATGTTGCGAATTGGTCAAGACATACTTAGAAACGTTGAAATGGGAAATCCTACCCCACCCGCCGTATTCTCCAGACCTTGCTCCCTCAGACTATCACTTGCTTTGATCAATGGCACCCGGCCTGGCTGACCAGCACTTCCATTCTTATGAAAAAGTATAAAATTCGATCGATTCGTGGATCGCTTCAAAAGATGACCAGTTTTTTTCTTCTCGGGATTCGTACGCTGCCTGAAAGATGGGAGAAAGTAGTAGCCAGCGATGGACAATACTTTGAATTATAAATATATAACCAGTTTTTTACAATAAAGCCTCGAATTTCGGAAAAAAACGGCGGAAGCAAAGTTGTACACCTAATATATACGTTTTACGACTAACCTTTACTTCTACCTTAATTTCATTTACAACTAACCTGTAATACTTTTATTACATTTAAACTCATACGTACCAGTCAAATAAATTCATTAACTGTTATTTAAAAATATGATATTGTATCAGAGTTTAAAAATCAAAACCTGTCCTAACGAAACAATATTGACGCACCCTTTTCTGCCTTCATTTCCACCGAAGTGTTTTATGTTATAAGCTAATATTGAAACGTGGAAATTATAATTGATAAGGGCATGGGTTCCAGGAATACTGAAATATAATGATCTTTTGTAATTGAATCATTTTTAAGATTTCATTACAATATTTGGTGCAATAGAGTTCCAAAATATTTCAGAATGCTTATTTTAAACATGATAATGTATGAGACTAGAATGATAATCACGTGAATCTGTGTTTAATAAACAGTAACAAAATATTAAGAAACTTAGTACTATATCTAGGATGTTATTCAACTTACCAAATCCTAACCACTATACACAACTACACTAAAATGATTTTTAGTTCTCTACAAGACCACTTTTTAAATAAATACTTAATGTTGTGAAGTGATTATGAAAATTTATATGTAAAAATAGGTGTAGATGCTTAAGTAAATAAGAATATTTACTTAAAGAGGATAGTCTCGTTTCTGAATATTATTTAATATTTTGTATCTTTGTACATATTCTAGTTCACACATACATATCAAATTATTACTTAATTACGTATATAATTAATATCTATTCAATAATATTCAACACTTTAACAAACTTACATTTTTCATTATCATTTTGTCAATATTATCAGTTGGTGACATTGATTTCAAAAGTTTAGATATGAAAATTGTTACTAATTGAAATACTTTTAAAAAATTTGCTTATACTATTACAATTCTTTAAGGTCATTGTTAACTTGCTTTCCCACCCCCATAGCACATGCTAACATACTATTAATATGTCTGCCTTCTTCTGCTTTAAACACATATCCATTAGTTTTATCAACTAAGTTCTTAATTTCCAGCAAATTTACTTCATTCATCATGTTAATCAGATGGAAACTAACTAAACTGTAGTCTTCAATAATTGACACAATGGCACTATTAAGCTTTTTATATTTACTAGTGAACATATCAGTATCCAAGCAATCCAACAAATAATCAAGGTGTAATACTTCAGTATAGAAATCAATCCCAAAATGTAATTTGTCCTTATGTTTCTTAAGCAAATCTACCTTTGTTAGCAAATTTATATGTGGTAAACCAATTTTTAGCATGGCATTCAGTGACAACATTAAAGCTGCTATAAATTTGCCAGGATCAGAACAGTGATGAGAATCAACCAGGTGAACTACACAACACTGAATATTTTTCTCATTTGTTAGTTTAAAAAATATTTTACTGAGACTTTCATGATGGCTGTAAAGTTCTACTTGACCAGGCAAATCAAATAGAAAATTTGTAAAGTTATCATTTTCAATTTGATCTAAAAGCCAGTCTATATTTTTCTCTAAATATTCCATGCAATATATCAGTGCTCCGTTGGGACCCAAACTATTCTGATCCATTACTTTTCTGAAATCAATTAATTTTCTGACATCTATATCTGGTGTATAAGACATCATATCATTGGCTGGATCTAAATTTACAATAACAATTTTCCTTCCTGACTTCTTCAACAATTCTCCCATTTTTGAACAGTATGTTGTTTTTCCTGCACCAGGCGGTCCAAGAACCAGTTGACCATAGTATTTATGTGCGGGTTTAAACTTTTTAACACTTGTTGCAGACATATTAATTTGATTCTTCTTGCTTAAGATCTAATATTATGTCTTTGCAAGCTTTGACTGTTTCAATATCATAGGATTTTAGATTTATGAATATGCAAAGTGGTTTTGTAATGTTGATTGCTTCAGCTAAATATCTTGCTGCAACCTGCTGCTCTTCTCCTGTGGCACCAAAAATAACTTTTGTTGTATAAATATCATTTGTACCTAGGGGACTGGGAACTTGATCCTTATGAACCAACAACATACTTCCAATTTTCTGATACTGAGATAAAATAATTAATATTCTATCCGAATACTCAGCAAAAACTATTTCAGTAGGAAGATCATCAATATCTGCAGCTACTGACTTAAAGATTTGTTGTTCACTTTCATTTGAACTATGTTTTATACTTAAATTTTTCATAACATCTAGAAGTTCCATTTCACAGTTATCTAAAAAAAGAGATAATAATATTTAATGTTAATAAGATGGGAAGCATACTTTTTATAATTAAATTCTGATGGAACTAATAGAAGTATGATACAAATCTTACATTAATTAATATGAAACTAAACATTTCACTCATATCTTTGAGTATATATTACTTAACATTTTACTTCATAATTACCTATTTCAGAGATATCAAAAAATAAAATGTACATTTAAGTGGTTGCTTTATTTGAAACTTATCATGAAAGTAGATCTTCCCTTTTAAGTTTTATAATATTACATAACATAAAACTTTTATAGCATTATGACATGATTGGATTGAAATTCTTCACACTTACAGAAATAATATTTTACTATCGAGTTGTAATTAATAATATACAACACTTTTGACTTTTACTGTGTGAGTAGTGTCACCAAATGGCTGCAAAGCCTTATTTAATTATATTCTATCAATATATTTGTATACATAATATAGCACTGAACACTCTTTTCAATTCTTTTTTTAATGGGAGTTCCTTTGCATTGGCTAGGTAGAGGTCCTAGGTTGAACTATTGGTTTATTTATTACTAATGGTTAAACTGGACCTGTCACCAGGATAGATTTTTATTTAAGTCTATTTTAAGACTATAACATCTTCCTAAATTATATGCACATAATTAAAATGCACTTAGTGAGAGTACAAAATAAGCTTAAAATGGGTGACTTTAATATTTGTTTTATTTTAGGTAAAAAGCTAAGTGTCTTTCCAAATTATTATAACTTGTTAGGAAATCAAAGCACTTAATTTATTGATATGTTGCAAATAATGAGTGCCTAATCACAATATTTACAGACAGTAGAAAAACTATAGTAAAACAATAAATTTAAAAAAAGTAAATAAAGTATATAGGAACTGGCAAATAACAATTTGCATACATAAAATGTATTATTAACAGATTGTATATCTCAGATCTGTCCTCTATTCTCTAAATGAAGATAGGTGTAGAAGGCCATAGTAAAAATATAAAGGTAACCTAAATTAGTCTTTATAATGTGAGCTATATGCGAATGAAAATCCATTCCAAAAAGGGTCACAAAATCAAACACCATAAATGTAATTATTTTTGGTGTATGTACCATATATACTTTTATATGCATTTAGTGACAACCTGTTAATATGATATTACAAACAGACACTTCAGTTTTATTTAATCATATAAATTAAAGTAAATAAATCTTAATATATTATAAAAAAATCTGTACAACATTTTTTAGTATTTCCTTTGTAATAAGGGAGATGACACCACCCCTATTTTCCTCCCATGTGATATCAAATTCATATCAAGAGTGAGTACAATTTATTAAGAAGGGTATGTTAATAATGGAGAACATTATCACAAGGTTATAATTTTAAATACTAAATATATACTGGTTTTTTTCGAGAATAAAATAAACATTTTGGTATCCGGATAAATAAGGAATGACAAATTTACGTTGGACCCTAATTGGTATTGGATAATAAATATGGAAATAAATACTCACATTTCGTGATATTATACAATAACTATAATCCAATAAAATTTATAATTGAAAATAAGATGGAATCAATCAATATAATTATTTAGACAACATGAGAATACAGAAATACATTACAGTAGGACTGTCAATACAAACAACTAGTAATGTCAAAAATTAAAAAAAAACGATAACTTAAAAGGATACTTCAAATATTTTTTTTTAATTTTAATACATTTTTTTAAATTTAAATACTCTTAAAAACAAAATCAAAAGTAATAGTAAGTGTACTATATACGTGCAAACATAATGCAATAAAAAAAATATTTTCTAATATGCTAAAACAAACAACAGATTTCTTCTCCATAATGTTACTTACATCCCTACGATATCGTCTAAAAACTAGCTAAATAAATGGCAACGAATCGCGGGACCCAACCAAAAGAAGCGTTTTTAATCAAAATCTGTATTTTTATACAAATATAAGTTCTACATGCAACTATTAGAAAATTGAAACGGCAACAAAGCTCGCAATAAATATAGTAAATTGTAAAATATAAAATTATACAAATTATTTAAGTATATATATATATATACATAAAAAATATAATAATTATTTGTGATTATGATGTCATAAAACATGTACTCAAATAATAAGAATAATAACCCTGAACAATTCAGACAGCGGCATCTATTTCTACGCTAAAGATTGTGTTATACTAGATAACTGGATATGAATACCTTTTTTTGTAAATATATACACAACATATATACATAGAAAGTACCCATACGCATGCAAACAATCATACTCCTAAATACAGTTGTGTTGGTCAACATCAGTACAACAGTACGGTGATCTGTAAACCATTAGTTCACCAAAGCCGTCAAAAATTGTTTCATGTATAAATTAAAGTAATGATTTATGTGATTTAAAATATACTTTAAAGGAAATTTTATAAAATACCTAATAGTACTTCCACGAAAAAAAGCTTCGTACTTCACAAAAAATTAGTTTTAGCACTATTTACTCAATAAGTTTAACGATAGTCGTTTCTCGATTACCCTCCGTAAATTCACATTTTCTTAAGACAGCCAATCCTAAAATTTTAAACTTTGTATTATAATGGTGAACTGTGCAAAAATGTTAAATTGTAGTAAATAGTCATCTGGCAACATCTGTGATTTATGAAGTACCGAAGTCTCTAGAAGAGATCTTATCAAGGCCTGCACTATTCAAGATTTTATATAAATTTATTTCTAACACTGGGAAGAAATTATAATTTTTTTTAGGTTTTGTATTTTATGTTGGGCTAAAAAGGACTTTTAGTGTACCCTATTTTATACTAGATTTGGTATATTTTACGTTGTTTAGCATATTTATTCGTTGATTAGCAAATACCATAAAATTATTTTATAAGTGAAATAAACGATCTGAAATAATTTCTCTGATAAAAGTTCGCCCCTATCACACTTGCAAGTTGGTATGAAGGGAAAACACTCTTGTCAGAGTAATTTCACTTTGTCATTGTTGGCAATCTGTCGATCTGCATCGACTGTCCGATGAAGACCAATATATTTTTTTTTTATTCATGTACTTTTGTAAAAGTACATGCCAGTCCCATTATACCAAAAATTATTACCTCACCAAATCAATTTGCCTTAGCTACACTATCTGAAGTATCGGCTAAGGTCCAAAATATAAATTTTGTTACATGATAACATAATTGATTATAACAGAAAATAAATATTATTAAAGGTTTAAAATTAATTGACTTTTATTTGATATTGATAAAGCATTGGCATATTAAAAGTAGTTAGCATATTTTTTAGCAATACATATTTTATAACAATTAGCATAATGTATTAGTCGTGTTGGCAATACTGTTTTTTTTTTTCTCTTTCATTTCGTCTTCAATCCCGTCGAAATGGTAATATGTCATATATTTTTTAGTTAGTTTAAATCTATTAAAATCTTTTCTAAATATAATTTATTCCTTAAAGTTTTATTGTATATGAAAAATAATACAATTTATAAAACCGAATTAAGTAGTATTTTGGAATATGTATAACTTCAGTGTAATATAACCTAGACAATGTTTATTTCAGACGAAGGGTACTTCAAGCTTCGGCAAGCGCCGTAATAAGACACACACATTATGTAGAAGATGTGGCAGATCATCATATCACATCCAGAAATCAAAATGCGCTCAGTGTGGATACCCTGCAGCCAAATTGCGATCTTGTAAGTAATATTTGTGATTACAATATTACTATTATAACCTATTAAGATTGATGCATATCAACATTTAAACAGAACCATGCAAAATTATGGAAATTAGCAAGAGCTTGACCGACAATAACATGCCTCTTAAATTATAAATGAATGAAGCTTGCTGTACCTTTTTTTTATATCTGTAAGCATAGTATAACCTGTTTCTAGTATTCTGAAAAACTTTAGAACAAAGCCGTCCTAGCTGACTGTCGCATTTATATTTCTGAACCCACTAATAATTAATACAGTAATTTATAGAGTTTATAGTTTATAGAGTAAAAATAGTATGATGTATTAAACTAGCCAAGTTTTAGAGATTATTAAAAATGGTGTACAAATTTTTATCTCTGTGGCCTAATTCTATACATTGTTATTGTTTTGGTGATCTGTATTACAGGTTATGCCTATCTCAGACACCAGCTCCTCACAGCAAATTGATTCAAATAATAAATTTAATTATTTCAATACTGTATATTTGGTATTCTATTATATGGAGAAAATAATTTTTTTTTTTTCAAAATCTGTGAGTTTTTACACATTTTATAAGTTATTCAATATATTGATAAATAATAATATTCTTTAATAATACATTCCTCAACAAATTTTTGAAGAACCTTTTGAACTAAAGTTTTATTTCCTATTTTATTTTCATATACTATTATTATGTTGCTTCATTAATGGTATTAGATATAACATCCAAGTAAATGTTATTTGCGGAATAAGGACTGGTGGACAAAGCATCTTTATGTCTTTACATTAATCACAATTTTTTAATGAATGTTTCTAATATCATTTATATTATTGTTTATTTAATGTATGCATGCTTTTCGGTTTGGTCATTTTACTGAAGCAAACTATTTAGAGTTGTCTGCATAGGGATTTATTTCTAACTTATTTAAACTACCAAGCAGCTTGCTTTGTAAGCTGTGGTTTGGTTCAAAGCCTTTACATGGTTTACATAGTGTGAAGGGATGACACCTTAGTCCACTGAAATTTAAATGTACCATGTGTACTTAGGCGTCAACTGATAATATGGTATCTGTAATGCTATTCAGGTTATAGGGTACTGGAATAGGTGATTCATACCACAAGTAAATACCAAATATAATTTAATAGTGTATGTAACTTGAATGGCAAACTGACTTATGACTATAAGTTTGTTTGCCATCACATAAGAGGTAATTTGAATCTATTACCTAAGTAAATCACGGTATAATCAGCATCACAGACTTCACATCAAGTGACACCCATGGTACCCATCATGGGTTTTTATACAGACTGTCCCAAAAGTTGATGATTAACCAGAAACAGGAGATAGAATGTGTCATTATAGCTATCACAAACTTAGTCTTGACTGACTATTGGTATTTAAAACAAAGCCACTTTTTAAACTACTATAATAAACCTATTCAGTTTTCATATTTAAAATTTATTTAAAGCTTTATAAATAAATGAAATGTTTGAAATTTATTCCTCCTGTTTGGATGCTAGAATGATATCTTAAGCTGGTATTTTTACAGGTATTATTATTATTATTATATTTAAAATTTTATGAAAAAGAATATTAAAAAAGAAGAATAAGAATAATATGTCATTATATTATATATTCAAAATGATCCTACAGTGACTGAGGGGATATATGTATATGATGTATTCCCTTGTTAATGTAGGTACAGAAATTGAAATTAAATATAAAAAGGAGAACTTTATTTTGTTCAATTTTTTATGTTTCTATTCAAACAAAACAATAATATAGAAATGGCTCTGAGCATTACACAATACCTCTTCATAAAGGCTGACTTACCCATTATTTCCCATATCCAATACTGGCTTCTGTTTTATGTTTAGATTTAGACATTATGATGAAGAAACAAAAGTAATTACAATACATATTTTTAGACATTTTTTTTTGTTACATTATTATTTAAGAAAATTAATTTTAACTATTCCAAGTGTTCAATAAAGTTTCGTAGTTGAGCATATAGTTTGCCCAACATATTTTGTTGAGTGAATCATAAGAATATTTAGAATTATCTTTAAATATTTTTATCAATAGGGCTATTGGGAGCTTATAACAATTGAAACTGCAACCAATATATTTCTATATAGGTACCACCACCAATTTCAAGTTTTACCACTAAATTTAAATATGTGCATATTTTTGTTGCAGATCATTGGTCAGTGAAAGCCAAACGTAGGAAGACCACTGGAACAGGCCGCATGCGTCACCTCAAGATTGTCAGGAGACGTTTCCGCAATGGCTTCAAGGAAGGCAGACCTACTCCCAAAAAGGCAGTTGCTTCATCCTAGACCTATTATTAAACCCAAATAAAAGAAAAAAAATTACTGCTTTTTTTTGTGCTTGACTATATTATATCCGCATCCCTACATTACGCGCGACAATTAAAATGTATAAACCATGTTACTTACCTTACACACTCTGGTACATTATTCACCCTTATTTTACTCATGACTATGCTCGTTTTAAGAGCTTAATGTTCGTAAGAACTGTTAGCTTCATATATCAGGTTCGCAAAAATAATCAGTTCAATCCATTTTTTGTTCACTATATCACGCTTAGTCTTAGCGTAAAGATAAATAAGAGATTTTTTCTAAAATAAAAGTAACATAGTTTACTCCTTATTACATCAGCTACCTGCCGTCAAAATCGGTCCAGTCATTTCAGAGATTAGCGGGACCAAACGGACACAAAAAATGGTAATTTGGGTGTATGTATCGTATTTATATTCATATGCATGAAGTAAAAATTGGTTATTTCAATATTACAAACAGACCAATTTTATTTATATGTATAGATTATTCATAATAATGCATATACTGGTTGCACAACTGGATTAAATCCCAAGTATGTAGTTTATTTAGTAGTTTAGTTTATAGAGCTTGTGTTATGGTTGTCTTTATAAATACATAGTATACCTACATATTAACCCCATTGCTAGCAATGTACGATGTATGATGTCTGATGAACCATCATGGAAAATTGCCATTAGCCAAAATGGATTGAACTGATTTCATGCTCATTTTATCGTCTTTTGTTGGTGCTACTCCAGCGTAAACCGAGGAGCAGACGGGTATTTCACTCAATTATTGAGAAAATACATAGTACAAAAAAACACACTCATAGAACCAGTATGATTGTTCATTAATATAATTGTTAGTAACGTACGAGTAGTCGAAACCGCGACCTAAGTATAGGAAGTAAAGCGGTGTACTGAACCACTAAACCACCGAGGTTGTCCTATTGACAGCGCTCTCACAGCGATACCTACAGAGGAATTTAAAAAAAGTATTATAACACTTATTTTTTGTGTATAATAAATGGTATTCATTTATTATACACAAAAAATAAGTGTGTGAGTATTACTTCGGAAATATGTTGACAGTTAGAAATTAGTAAAAATCTTTAATTTTAAATAATATGCCTTCATGCCTAATATCCCAAATGAGGTAATCGGAGGCATCAATAATAATGTCTGACGGACGGCGAAGGGAGCACTCTACATATATTTGGGTATAACAAAAATTTGAAGTTCATAAGCGGCTAAAAGGTCCTACATGAATAAATGATTTTTTAATTTGAATATATTTTTTTTTAATTTTGTACTTTATAATCTATCTGTTCTTTATCCTATTATTGCTTTTTAGGGGTGCGTATCTTGTCGAATTCACAAGGAATTGACCACGACGCTTTCTAGAAGTGATTGAATGGAGATCTGGATAGAGTACAGTGGACCATTTCTCTCCATTATTAATACACTCCTACGCCGTGAAATATTTGAATCATAATCTGAATCTGAAGAATAAATTTGAAATAAAATGAATGGCAACTTGATATAATATTATAATTGATATTTCCGATTGATATATCAGAGAGTTACAAATATAAATTGACGCATTTTTTTTCAACATGAAAGACTTGCAACTTTATTTAAGGTTACCTTATATTTTTGTTGTTATTTATTTATTTAATTCGGATTACATCCATATTGTGTTAGTAAACAACTTATAAACTATGTTAGTAAATTATAATATACAGAGATATACACATAATTCATATAATTATCTGTGTCCACGTCCAGAAGCACTGGTTCCGCAATGCAACGATATCCAGTGCCTCTGCAGCTGACAATCAAGTTTTTGAGAAGTCATAAATCCTTAAATGCATAAATATTTGCATTACTAAATCAAAGAAAATACCCTAAATACCTAGAAACCTATTTCATATTTACATTGCATGTTCGCAATCCTATTTGTACAAATAGTGCATCTTCTAATTTTTTTGCTTTGTTTTTATTTACATTGTTCTTCTTAAATACTATTTTGGTTTATTAACAGAAAGAATGACGATGATCTTGTAATATTTTATTAACTCGTCGTGATGCCATTATTCACCTTTGGTCGTGTTACCATCGATGACGCTTAGTCAGCTAAGGCAGCGTCACGAGAGGTGCGTCGAAGCGAGAGCGCGCCATTCTCGCATTCTATATTCTATACCATAAAATGAAACCATTCAGTTCAATTCACTCGTTGTTGGTCGTCGCTTGCGCGCTCTGGCCTTTTCGTCTCGCTGCTATTGCAGCGTTACCTTCAACAACTGTACAATCTTATCCAACATCGCCATTGGGTGATAACATAATCGAGTACTATGACGCGACGGTACATTTTAAAGTTTTCATAAGATAAGAGACTGTGGTGATTAAATTTTTACAGTGAACGGGTGTATAATGTGCGCGCACTGACGTTCTCAAACGAAAATCTTAATACCGTTACAAAGTGTTCATTGAAATGTCGTTATTTAAGAAAAAGACACCGAAGCATCCGCCTTTGCCGGCGCCTACTGCACCAGTTGAAGAGCCACAGACTCAACCTAATGGTGTGGATAACAACAATGGGTCACCGAAGTCTCAGCTTGTGTTTCACTGTCAGCAGGCGCACGGTAGTCCACTGGGTCTTATTTCCGGATTCTCAAATATAAAGGAGCTCTACCAGAAGATAGCAGAATGTTACGATTTTCCACCCGAAGACGTAAGGATCTAATTACTTTATACATATTATAATCTTTAGATAACGTTTTATAGATACTTATACGCAGGTTATTAATATTGTTGCAATAAAAAGTAGGTATCTAGAAACATGAGGGTAGATATTTCTAGATACTTTTTGTTGCAGCATTAGGATTAGATACCTCAGGCTGGCAAGACATTGAACAAGTTTATACCTAATGATATGTTTGGATGCAATGTAATTGATAATATAATGAGTCCCAATATCTAAACACCTTAAAAAAAATCCTTTTTATAAATTTATCAATTAAATAAAGTATGCATAATGTACTGTCTATTAAAATATGGATTTTTTTTCCACAAAAGACGAAGAGAAATTCTCTATACGTGACTCTACCATCTTAGAGTAAATAGTGCTATCTTCCATTATAAGTACTTCATGTACTTTTTAAACTGGTATACTCAATCATTTAGATAAACTTTAGTACATACAATTATGAATGAATGAGATAATTTAGCCTTGAAACATTCTTTCGATGTTTTGTGTCTGTTATGTATATATATATACCTATACGTAATATGTATTAACAAAGTTGTCCTAGCAGAGTTAAGAATTAGTAGAATAGGCCCGAACAAACATATTTTTTCAGGTAACTGGACATACGATAGAAATATTAGGTTCGTGATTTTCAGTTGATCAGTTTAAACACTTGTACAAAATACTGTCCGCAATGCAATAAACATCTATATAGTAAATAATTACTAAAAATTAATGATTCATTCACAGTCTTCATTTTATATTCTTCAATTAATAAATAATAGTTATGCATTTTTTATATTACACAATTAAATTATTACTTATCTATTCGGCGCGTCAATAAATCGTAAACTGCCAAATATAATATATTACAACTACCTACCTATTACAAATTTGGTAATTTAGATTTACGTGATGAATTTGAACATTGAAACTAAAACATGTCTGTAATGCATTGAATATATGTACATAAGCTTGAAGTTCATTATCATACTAATAAATTTATATACAGAATTGGAGTCCACTCTTATAGCCTACTTTTATCCAGTTAATTCAAAAAATACTGATACGGTACCGCTACAGAACTGAAACTTTCACCAATGATAGATGACACATTGAGTGACGCAATGCAGTAAAATTTGAGCTAAATCGGTCTAAAAGTGATTCAACAGTGAGAAAAACCACACATTCCATTTGTAAATTACATTTGGTAAATTCTAAAAATTACGGCAAATTTTACAACTTGAAAGAGGACTAACCATTGTGTTATTTAATTTGGTACTAAAACTATTGGAGCTAATAAAACTTATGAAGCCTTCGGTGGTGGTAAAATATAACAGTTGTTGGTCGTGATTTTATTTCCGTTTACCAATTGTTATTTTATTTAGATTATTATATACACTTCTCTCAAGAATTCGTGAGCGTTTATTGAATAGCATTGACAAAATACCGACCAACGATCTTGAAACAAATAAAATTGCTATCTAATATATACTTAAAGTAATTACGTAATTAACGTTTAAAGATGAGGTTTAATTTTATTATTATTACACAAGTTTGAAGTGCTTGAAGTTCATTTTTATTCTTATTGATTACAAATGAATTCCTAGACACTATTAGTATTTATAGTAGGTATTGACGATTACAATCGTATGTATAGGTATAAGAGCTATTGAAATTTTTTGATATGCTAATAATTGAGAAAAAGGTTTTTAGAAATTATATTAATACGTACTAATTATATCTAATGGGTTTCTTTGCATTCATTACTAGACATAAAAAGTATCCAGGTAACATATGATTTACGAGTAGGTAGAATGTTTTATTAAGGTTTGTTCAGCCCTTATTATCCTAGCATACTTGTACGTGTTATTTAATAAATGCTATTGACATCTACTAATACACTAAATGCGTGTCTTTTAGAAGAATTAGCTTCAAAATGGAGCTCTACTTTATGTGTCTATGTATTATGAGGAAATTGTCAGAACTCTAATTATAGAAATATTTCTGATATACTAAATTATTCTAGGAGAACGGACGGATACTGTACAAATATCTATTATTAATATTTTGAAACCACAGAGAAGCAACATATATATAAATTATGCAAATATATAATTTTATATATCTATCTGTTAGATAGGTACCTACTTTTATGTTTTTAGCACCTATATTATATTAAATCTGCTAGTGATTATAATTTATATTATATACATGTATATGACTGTATATATACTATTATGTACTTACCAGTTATTGGAGCAAATTAGATTAATGATCATTAGTAACAAAAATTATTTATACCTTGATTAGAACTATCATTACAGGCAAAATCCATTACGATAGTGCACAATGAATTGAGTAATGACCTTATGATTTCATATATACTTATAGTCATGTATTTCGGTAGATAGGTGTATTTTCTTTTGTTTATTTATTTGCGTTGAGGCCTATTAGTATTAGGCCTTTGGTACTTGTTACATCAAGAAGTCGGTGGTGGGTTCGCCCTCTGTCATGTTGAATTCAAATATATCTTGTGAACATGTAAAGTGTTGCGTTCATCACGAGGTCGACAGTTGACACTACCACTGACTTTTTTTTATTAGAAACCTGGAATAATACCTAGTAACAATAATCTGAGTAGTAATAGCCTATATTGTGCCCAAGGTAGAACTTATACGAGGTACATCGGCGATTATTATGATTATGCTTGTCATTTCTTGGTGTTTTGGGTCTTTAATATGTTGATGGATGTACAAATACACATTATCAAACACAATTACTATTAAATAAATACTAGATGTAATTACATCATTCATCACGTGGAATGTGGGTATTTTCTAGACTTTCCTCAGGATTTCTTCCCTGCTTCTTTTGCCTTTGGGTTAAATTAAGAAAAATAGTATATGGTGCGCCATTTATAATTAGTATACAGTGTTAGTTTACATTGTCAAACATATGATCCAAATATTAGATTTATAAATTACTCCAATTTGATGATGGTGATGACCTAGATGGAAACGAAAGAATCTTACTCTGTTAATCCTGAGCCTAACCTTTACGATAAACCCCTGTACAATACCGACAATATATCTCACTATCCGGTCAGTGATATAAAAATGCATCAAGTATTAGTAAATAGATCTAACGTTGGTCTATTATAAGTGTACATATTTGTTTATACAGTGCTCACCAAAAAGTTTAGAAGTTTGGGAAATTATTCTTATAACTTATATATACAAATCCTTAAGTTCACAGTTTTCATGTTGATTACCCTACTTTCTCGGAATCCGTTATTATAGTCTCCACGGGAAATTCAGTAAATACTTACATACCTGCACCGAGGTTTCCCATCTCTTTTTCTCACACCGCCTTAGTTATTTAATTAGTTTATGTAAACTAACTAAAATAACTATACCTGATGTACCTGAGATCTGCTATATTACATAGTTTTAATTGTGTATTGTAATTTAAATAAATGTATTGTTATCACGAGCTATTGATAGTTTATGACTTATCAGCAAATAGATCAATATCGATTTGTATTTTTATAGATTTCGGTCTTTCTATTGTAATATCTTTCTATAACAGTCTAAACTAATTTTCTAAAAGGTATAATATATATTAATTGAAGATTCTACAATAATTTAACTTTGTTGAATTTATAATAATTAAATCAAATTTAGTTTTTATTTTATATTAACTAACCACTCCTTTGTTAATTTACATCTTCTTCACCTATTTTAGTTGACAAAAGCAGCTTGCTAAAAACACACAGGACCAACGTTTGTAAGTTGTGCTCATGTGTATGTTTCAGGTGCTGAGAGTGTGCAATATAGCAATAAAGTTACATTGTTTAGAAATATCTTAGTACTCTGATGGCAATCATGGCAATGCATGGGGGGTATCACGGACGTTATATGACGTGATGTCCGCGGTACACCGTCGCCATGTTTATCACCAGGTGGACAGTCAGTTTGCTTGTCTTTAAAGTAATGCTGCATATATTAATATAAAAATAATGCTGCACCATAACTACATAGTATAAAACAAAGTCGCTCTCGCGGTCCCTATATATGCTTAAATCTTTAAAACTACGCAACGGATTATGAAGCGATTTTTTTAATAGATACAGTGATTCAAGAGGAAAGTTTATATTTATAATACACGTACACCCGTGTGAAGCCGGGGCGAGTAGCTTGTTATATATACGCTATTTCTTTTAATTCTTGAATATAAAAATAAATAAACATCTGTTGTATGGTATCTACGGTGATTATTAAGTGCTCCTGCCACATACAATCAAGTATCCAAACATAAAGACGATATATAGGTACTTGTACCTACTTTAATAGTGTAATGGTTTTGTTATAAAAGTAATTAAATGAATACATACGTATATAAAGACATTCCGTACATTCCGTACACGTCATTTGTTATGTTAGGTATTTATCAGGATTTCCGCTACCTTATTAGCTATCAATATTTCATTGCTTACTTATGTGTTAATATTGTTTTCTGCATACGTATGCAGTCCTAAAGGGTAATGTTGTAGTAGTAGGTACTATGTCGAAGCAGTCTAAGTAATAGATATACTTTTATACTTTTAACCTTTTGTTCAAAGCTCGTGACGCGGTCCAACCACATTACTACTAAAAATGAAATGTCAAGATACTATAAAAGACAAATTATTTTATACTTCGGTAACAATAACGTAGGTAACGTTGTATATTTTTTGAGTTATTGATTTCTTTTGGAGTCAAAAAGATATATCCCTGTCCACTGTCTTTTTTTCCGTCGGATCGAAATTACGACGACCTAAGTCTAGCTTAGAACCCTTTGTGGTGCCTAAAAATAATAAATTCCAATACATCAGGTTTGAAATGCTTTCTGCACTCGCCCTCATTTTTGTCCGGCGAAGCTGTAAATGCCAAGTACAGCCAACACCATTAGATGCTTCGAAAAAAGATGTAACCATGACGGTC